GTTATTTTTTTATTTTGATCAACATTGTTGCTATTGTTTATGCTAAAATAGTAATTTTCTAAAAAAAATTCTTTCAAAACGATCTTCCTACACTTTTTATCCGATTGAAATAAGAAATTGCATACAAGTAGACTACACCAACACACATGACTGTACATAGATATGTGGGTTTTAAAAAGTTTGATTAACGGTATTGACATGATTACTAAAATAGTAATTTCTTTGAAATTCGTCCAAAAAGCTACTCCTCCCACAATTTCATTCTTAATAATTAAGAACAAAGATTGAGACTAGGAATCTGGGTAACAAATAAGTACAAGAAGATATAAAACTTCGGGGACAAACCTTACAGAATTCTAGACAAATTCGAAGCATGTGCCCCCCAAGAAAAAATAAATGGGATTCAATGTGAAACAGAAGAAGCAAGAAGAGTAAGAGCAAGTTGAACGGCTTGTCAAAGAGTTTTTTTTACTTCTCATAATGGACTGTGAATGTACAAACCCAGATGATTTTGTCATAGAAAATATTATGTACAGTCAAACACAGACATTTGAAAGTGCAGAAAAGGCTTTGGAATCACGACAGGAAAAAGCTGTAAAAGCTCTAGCATCAGTTTTCTGTACGGGTTAGGGCTAGGGCTAGGGTTAGGGAAAGTAGTTCTTCAAATAAATAGGTGCTTCACATATACAGTGCAAAATGAAAACTCTACAGGCGATGACAAGTAGATAAAAATCAGTCGAAAACAGAAATTCTATCAGATTCAGAAAATACAATGAAGCCAAATCTTCGATTATTGTAAAAAAAAAAAAAAGCGTTCAAATGTCTTGTAGTTCACTTGGAAACTTATGAGACAAAGATTCCAAATCCTACACAAAGATCCTACACAGGATCCGTCTTATCTTAGTGTTTACCTTCCAATTGATCATGAATGAAGACCGAAACACTCAATTTGAAATTGTAGATTTAAAGCATGAACACATTTTCAAAGTTGATGTCGTAGAAAAACAATTTAATCGGAAAGATACAGAATCTGAATCTCAAGTTAATAGCCTAGATAGTCGGCCATCAAAGCTCATCGAAGAATACACTTTGAGTGACCCTTATCTGATCCGTCCGCTCTGTTGCATTTTCCACATTAGCTAAAAAATACAGAAAAAAAGTTTGCTCAGAAACTTTCAGCGAAATGCTTTTTTTTTATTCACGCACCAACGAAATTCCTTTGTGCCATATTTTGAAAAGGGAATATGAGAATTAATCGGAAAGGTTCTCCCAAAAGCCATTATCATCTTCACCAGTGAGACTGCAAAAAGGACCCATGGAAATTTCCAGAGGTGGGATCAGTGCCTAAGAGGACCGGTCACACCCGCCGTGCTCCCTATGTATTGATCAGGTATACGGAATAATCAGTAGTTAAATCGAGAATAAAAACAACGTCCTAACAATCGGTATGAACTATGTCGGTCAATATCGACCAAATGATAGGTTGTGTTTGCTAACAAGGTTATTATAATGACCATAGAATTGAAGAAATGCTATCTTCAAAGGTTGTTGAAATTCCTGTAACATTAACTTATCTGTCATTAGCCTGCATCCATTGAAAATTAATCGTACTCAAGCATGCTCTTGAGTATCGAATAAGTTAACAGACTTAAACACCATATGTAGGTGATAGTAAAATAATACTACATAAATAAGGGAAGTTGACGATGGAAAACCTGAAGCTGAAGTTATCGCGTTTTGTTGTTAATTGGTCTTATATGTATCGAACATAGAACTTGCAAAATGTTTTATTTAAATTAGACTGTCCATATCCTTGTTTCATCAACTTGTTTATCAAAAGCTTGCCTCGTTTTAGAAATTGTTTGTACGTAAACCATGCTCTTACGTAAATCAACTGGGAGACATAAACTAAACATGCAGGTGATAAGACTATATTGTTACATAAATAAGGGAAGTTGACGATAGAAGAGTTACAGTCATCATATCTACCATAAAGTTTTGTTGTTAGATTACCATTAACGTCTTTTTCTAGTAAAATATCCAAATATGAAACAGATGTGTCAGACTCTGTGGTATCTTTTATTTCAAGTTCAATGGGATATATCGAGTCGAATGGAAGTAACAATTGTTAATTGATACATGTAATACGTCATATATCTAAATGTCGCGTCGAAGGCACAGCAAGTGTTTTCTCCTTCTCATGTATAAGTTTTTTTTAATAAATTCTGCTTCACAGGAATATAAAGACAGGTCGGCTAATAAAGGAGCACAATAAGTCCCATCGAAATTCCAACAGATTGTTGAAAGAAGTGGTCTTGAGACTATATAGATGCTGTAAATGAGCAACTCGAGCATCTTTTTAATATCAACCTTAGAGTACTTTTGTGTGGAATCAGTGATTTTTTTTACAAAGTACATGTAATTGTACAGATGACCAATCACAAGATAATAAAATTTCCGAGTTCGTTTTTTATTGAAGAGGCACTTGTTTATGATATAAAAAAATTAGTTTTTTTTTTATTTATCGTGTGGAATGATTGTTTAAAGTGTAGAAAAATGTTTATGTTACTGACTGTTCAAAAATGTTGAAATTTTAAATTTTCTAAATGTTCTGTGGAGTTTTTCGGAATCCACATTAATTACATGTAACACCACTTTTTGAATATCATGTACCACAGCACAGTACATCTGAAGTTTCTCCTTTACAGCAGCTAATATTTTTGTGAGGAGTAAAGATAAGGGCTTGGTATAGCAGTTGATGGACCCTGAAATGTCAAGTAGAAATGAATTGTTTGTTCGTAAGTGCACTGTAGAAAGGAGTTCTTTGTTCGTAGAAATATATCACCAAGTTCCACATGTTGAATGCCAACAACATGGTTCATCGTACTAGAACATGTAGAATACAGCTGTCTGATCTTTGCAGCATAATTGCATGAATAGCCAGACTAAAAAAATACGAAACGCCTGCAAGTATCAGGGAGTAGTGTTATTCATGTGATTGCTGAAACTGATTGAAGAGCCAGTCATGAATTCATCAATCATAATTATTCTTTTAATCTTAACTTTGAAGTTGTTTATTTGAATAAGTTCCCTTGTCTAACTCAATCTACCTTTCCAGTTGTTCTGACATGCTGGTGATAATACATTACTGGGCACTAGATTACTCTAGCCGTACATGTACATCACACCTTAATCTCATTTTTTTCCTCTGTTTCCTTACATATCTTTTTGTCAAAGCTAGTATAACTCTCTCTCTCTCTTTCTCTCTCTTAGATTCCTTTATACATTTTGTACAGGTCAGCAAATTTTAGGGCTGTTTTTTTTTGTCATTTTTATATCATTAATTAAGACTTTATCCGATTTTCTTGCCATATGATTAAGAAACAATATGTTTTATATATATAAAAAGATTTTCTTTAGACAAAGAGAAATCTTCAAGGATTGTTTGCAAACATTGACACAAATCTGTGGGGGAAAAATATATCCCACTGACTTATGAATGACTCTAATTTATGATTAGAAATAAACATAACAATTTACATGCCTTCAGTTACAAATTCGTTCGTTTCATAGAATTCAAATGAAACCGTGTAGTCAGAAAATTAACACATAACAATAATGACGAGAATAAGAGAAGCTGGTAGTAGTATATATTTTGTTCACAAGTTAATTATTCTTTATTCAGATTAATTAATTTCAGATGTTCAAAAATAAGCACCTGTGTATATAACGCTTTGATTCTTTATACATCTATAACAGAAGACATTGACAATTTACAAACTAAGCACACATAATATATATGTAAATTCTGCATGAAAATATAACAAATATATACAAGTACATGTATAAATCTATAACACACAATGAATTAAACAGGTTTCTTCAAAATATCTTAAACCTTCAGTAAAACATATTTTATGATAGATGAGACGATGCCTTAATGCACGCCTTAATTAATTTAAAACATCATTTTATTCATAAATTTAATGAATTAAAGAATAACATATACAATATACATTATACACATACATTAATCTACGTGTTAAAAATAATCGATATTGTTTAATTTATTTTCAAACACTATACGGCTAAATTATTCGAATAAATTCAGTTTAATTTAAATACTTCAGTTCCAAAACCATCCAAGTGGAACTTAATGATTATTTCAACTACTTAATCAAAATAATATCGCAACATATTTTAGTCTTATACCTATGAATTTAGAAGGGATTATATGCTTTTCTCCGTCTGACCATCGTCAAATTCTGTCTGTCTGTCCTTCTGTATTCCAGGCAGTCAGCCACTCTTTTTCCGGACGTTTCCCCCCAAAGTATATTGAGCTGATTTGTTGGTACATTTATCCGAGTCTATCTTCATAAATTACAGATCAAGGTTGCATTTAGTTACACGTTGACGAGATTTATCAGAATCAGGGCCAATATCGAAAGACTTTAAGATTGTACATACACTGTAAGTCAGTAAAATAAATGTGGTATACCAGTATTAAAATTGTATAAGTTATTATCAAATAAGTTAAGGATACAGGACTGTCAACAGAATCGTTAAAAGTTAACATTTTGCAAATTCCTTGATAGATAACTGACTTTGTCTGCAGATGCAATCTGTTGTTAAGTCGAATGATGACGGACTCTTTAATGCAAATTCTAATGCCAATTTTTTTCACATTAATTTGTCTACATATTTTTCCGTTTACCCGATCATGCATATGACAAGGAGCACACAGCAGGTGTGACCGGTCGACAGATGTTGATTAGTCCTCCATACCACTTGATCGAACCCTGGTTCCAGAAGACCTTGTTAGCTATGCTCAAATTTTGTATTGTTTAAATGGACTTTTGAGAATGATAGTTTTTCCTTATCTTCATATTTCATTGTATATCTAGAAACAAAGTTTAGCTATCTCTGAATATTTGCTACTGTTTCCTGTCATTAGATATAAGGGACATGTAAATCTTTCGTTGACTATGAGAGATTCAAATTCAGGGTTTTCTTATCATCATCCTCACTTCCTTCATGGAATAATGGAATCCTTTCCAGGCGTACCAGTTGATGCCGTTTGAATTGTCCGTGTTCCCGTACTCACCATTAAGGTTAGACCTATGGCAAGAATTATACCACCAGCCTCCCATTCTGCCAAGGGCGCAGTTGTAACCAGGGTTCTTATCGTTGTCGTTATCAAAGGTGCTAAAGAACATGTTGCTGTGGTAGAGAAAACTGTCCCCTGTAGAAAACATAAGAAAAAAAACCCGAGATGAGAAAACTGCTCACTGCATAATGTACAGTTTTTAAATACAGAGGCTTCATTGGTCTAAATGTGAATATAAAAACATTTTGTCGCAGAATGAAAAAACAATGCATTCTAAGAATAAAATAATAGTAACACGAAATTTTGTAAATGTTCTGTAACAGTACGAGGTTTGTACATATGAAGTGTTGAAGCATATCTTTGTATCTAGAAACAGACAAGAGCGAAAAAAACTCTCTCTTTCTCTCTCAAATTCAGAAATCAGAGGTGGAAGGTTCAAGAGTATGTGCATGTACCTGCATTTCCGGTGTAACCTGAGATATGTAATCTGTACTCTGAAATCGCTCCTTCGGTGTAGAAGGTACTGTATTCTGCATATTTCCAAACGCAGTCATGATCCATAAGCTCAATCCTAAGATGTGTATATCCTTCATTTGTAAGGTGATATATGTTTTCATTACCTGGGAAAATATTAAATGTGCGAGGTGATGGATTTTCAAATACATTTGAAATCAAATTAGACATGTGTCATCTACCTTAACGATTTTGTTAACAATAATCTTTTCATGCATCTTATTCTTTTCCAAAAACAGCATAGTGGCAATTGGCTTGGAAATTGTCTAGTAATAAATGTCAATGAAGTATGGAGACAACAAACAGTATATATTCAAGCTCAAAGTCCATTTAAACAACACAAATCGGGAGATGAGCAAACATTTGTAAGAATAATCTAACTGTGTCTCCGGAGAAGCCCCCACCACAGTTAGAATACGTCCCATATAGTTTCAATGCAGCAAATCGGAGCGGATCCGCTCCGAAATGATTTTGAAGAATATAAAAGAAGGTGCGGTGAAAATAACTAACAAATTAATCAAAAAAACCTTTATGAGATTGTATATGCCTTTTATCTTAAAAATAATCCATATAAAGACGAAATTTCAACTTTTTTTTCTCGCTTCAAATTTACACGCCATGTTTACAATCGGAACTCTATAGATTGCTCGTAGTATATGCACTGCGTTTCAGTTATCTTCCGTGTTTATTTTGCTATATTGCCGATACAAAGAACGAATTCTGGGACAATAGCATTTTAACGATTGAACGTTCTATCTAAGCAAACACGGACCACCAAAAACATCAGAGGTGGGATCGGGTGCCATGGAGGAGTAAGCATCCCCTGTCAACCGGTCATACCCGCCGTGTGCTACTTCTCATGATCGGATAAACGGAAAAATTCGTAGACAATTCAGTGTATAAATAATGGCCTAACAACTAGTATGAAAAAAATGAAAGCATTTGACCTAAATTAAAAAATGATCGTACGTAAAGTATGCTCTTGCTTATCGAATCAACTTGGAGACATAAACCCCATACGCAGGTGAAAAGGGTATATTGCTACATAAGTAAGGAAAGTATTAGCATTTATACAAGTTTATGAGCTCATGATACGGTATTTTGAAACTCTGTGATATAACTTATAGCGAGCGCAGCAAGTTCTACCGACAACGCCTGGGCGAAGAGAAAATTCGGACTTTGCACATTGATCCAAATGAATTTTTTCTACAGTTACCGACATTGTAGAATATCGATCACGATGTATTTTGATAGTATGGGGTTATAAAATGGGGGCGGCTTCGCCGCCTCGGGAGTTAGTTTCTTCCCTCGGGGAACCATAAATTTGCTATTTCCCTCGTACCGATTCCATAACTGTATCTCTAAAAATACATCAGGATCGGTATTCTATAATGGATCGATCAGACTGATAATTGGAGTAAAGAAAGACTGAAATCTCTTTTAGAGTGTTATCGGAAACACTTGTTAATAAAATATTTAATAACTATTTCTAATAATTTCAATTCAATTTTCATTTGAGGATTGGGAAACAATCTATTCTTAGATTGTCAGATTCTTTTGCAGTCTTATATATTCTATCCGTGGATGTTTTTTTTTTTTTCCTTCAAGGCAAATGAATGTACTTTAATTCTAATAGTAAAAAAATAGCTGCCACTCTTAGATTTACAAAGCAGGCGACACCTTTTAACACTCTAGTTAAGACTCTTTTTTGGCTCTTTATCACAATTTAACATACCTATCCAAAATTCGGAGTCACGTGAGCCAAACCCTCTCTGATACTGTGTCCAGTTTTGCTTAAAGTTTACAGATCCATCGAATCTCCTCTGGATTAACTAAATGAAAACGAACAGTAATCAGGTTTAAAAGTCCATTGATACAATACATATTTAGCATAGGGCAAACACGGACGTCTAAAAACATCAGAATTGGTACCAGGTGCCATCTTTACATCATACAAGATTCACAAAGTTGAAAATCACATGGAACTACTGCATCAGTATTTCTTTATTAGTGTTTTTCTTATCTTAAACAGGGTATGGAATAGGTTTTACACCCCTTGAGTTTTCAAATTTGTCAATATATAACCTTTTAAGGGGAAATTTTGAGGTTCATACAAAAATTTCACTCACGTGAGTTTCATGTTAAAATTTTACATGAAAAACTTATAAAAGTTAAAAGAAAAAACGATCTTTTTGCTCTTTTCTGAGTATTTCCCTGGAATATTTTTCTCAAATTCGTATGGGCCATATTTCCCTATGTATTTATTACTATAGGGTGTTATTTGAAATATTCTTTATACAATTTTAAACAATATTACAATGTTCTTATTGCAAATAATGATATATATATCCCCCGCTTCATATGAGTATAATGGCAAAGTCCATTTTTTTGTTATGGGAAAGTTAAAATATCTGTTCGACCAAAACATTGCGTAGGAGGTACACGATATAAGTATGTAATAAAAATTCTGTGAAAGTATCATTACATTTTACTCAGTGGTATAGGAGGAGTGCAGATAAGAAATGGATACCCCTGATATTATAGAAAGAATTGCAGTCTCTATGTTTTGCTATGGAAAGCCTTAAATGTGAGTCAAATCAAAAATTAAAATAGAAAGTGAACAAAGGCACAGTGTAATGAATTAAAGATTCTGTGAAATTGTCATTTTATTTTATTCAATGGTAAGGAGGAGTCGAGGGTAAGAGATGGGCACCCCCAATATCATACAAAGAATGACAGGGTCCATTTTTTGATATGGGAAACCCGAAGTATATATTCCATCAAAGAGTAAAGTATAAGGCACAAAGTAACAAAGATACTGTGAAAGTCTAATTGAATTAATTCTTTGGTATAATAGGAGTTGCGGATAATAGATGGTACCCAAAGAGTAACAGACGGACGGACAGAGAGATGTACAGACGGACGGGCACCTCCATTAATATACACCCCTGCTTTTCAAGCGGAGATATGAAAATATGTATTACCGTCCATAAATGACTGTTGCGGTGGCATATGGTTGATACAGTAGCACCAGTCGTCAATGATAAACTACAGTAGAAGTCCCGTCCTTAAGAAATAGGAAATTTTTCAATATATTAATATATTTTGGAAATTACATAGGCTTGAAAAAAAAAACAAATTAGGTTATATGCCTTCAGGTTAGATAGTTATGTACATGTAATAAGGCAGCTTTAGAAGCTTACAATTTTACAGTCGCTTGAAAAAGCATAAGATTGCCTAAATATGACTGTTTTGTAGAATATACAACTTACTTATGAACATATTCTATAAACATTGTGTATTTTAAAAATTAATTTAATTACCATTTTGTTTGAGTTTCAATATAATTATCCTGCTCATTAATGTAAAGTGGGCAAGAGCCGTTGACACTATTTTCGTAAGGAAAATAACTCTTTAAGGACATACGCAACGTAGTTTGAACTTTATTGTCTTTTTCCCTGGAGTTGAAGAGTTCCAATACTTAAAGGAACTGTGTGCTACATTTTAATTTCTATATATGCTATTGTACAATTCTTCTAAAACAAGTTTGGATAAACAAAACATCCAGAATATATGTACAGTAATTTTTGTATATTTTTCTTTGAATTATACAAGAATTTTCATCAATTGATATCTTTTCAAAACCCCTGGTAATGCATGCTGATTTTTTGTCTACGAACATCTGATGGCACTATAATCTTATATTAAGAATATCTTGAAAAATTATCAGTAGGTATGGTACGTTGCGTATGTCCTTAAATGAGTAATTTTGAGGTTTTTTCCGTTTGAAACTTAGAAATTTAACAAATGGATGACCACAAATTTCCAAATTCCTTTCTGATTTATCATATTCTTATATTCAACTCATATTTCAACAATTCTTAGAATTTTTTCAAAGATTAGGACATAATATAAAGCCAGAAATGTACCCATTTCTTTCAATTACACAGATCACTTCAAATACCATGTTAATATTAAGGTGGGTAGTAGGTATTAAATATAATAAAAGTAGCTAATTTAAGGTGAAAAGAACTTAAAATCTTAAAGACCTGAAGAAAAATAAGAACTGGTATTGGCAATAAATACATTTTTATGTCAAATGCTTTTAGATAGAATTAGCTGGATGGATGGTACAAATGACAGAGATGATTAATAGAAAATTGACTTCAAATTTGTAGTTATTTTGCAAAATTCGTAAAAAAAAAAATATATTGAAAGCTCCAGCCATAAATTTTCATTCTGCATATATTCTACTCTTGACATACAGAAAGAAGTAGCACAATAAATAATCGTACATAAAAAATCTCCTTTAAACTATGTTCAATTAGTTTACAAACTCCACTAAACGGCAAAAGCACCGAAATTCTTGATTTTTTTTCAGAATTCATAATCCAAAAATAAATACGAATTGCAAGTTAAAATAACCTGTATAGAAACCCAAATGTTTAATTGCATTACTGAATATTTTAAAATTACCTCTATATTGCTGGAATTATCGTTATCTGGCCTCGAGACCATAAACTGAGAACAGACTTAAGTCAAAATTTTGATTTTGAATATCTTGATTTTTATTTAACATGCATACTTAAAATTTTGCAGGTTTGTATAATATTCCAGTATAAATTATAGATGAAAATTTCGTTCTGTTATCAAAATTATTTCGAAAGTTATGTGGATTTGAAATTTTGACTTCAGTCTGTTCTCAGTTTATGGTCTTGGGGCCTGAACTACTTACTAAGAATAAATGAATTGATCAAATAAATGCCAAAATCACTATTTTGTTCAGCTTGCTTTTTTGTTACAAAAATAATTATAAATTTTTCACAGCATATTAAGAACTTTGAAATCTGCATGCTAAGACTCAAAATACATTACATGTGAATTTTCCACTTTAAAAATCTTTAAATAAGTCTTCTTTTTTTGAAAAATTATGAAAATTTGTTCCAGACAATACAAACGAATGTGCAGACCATTATGTCTTAGATTTAATGAGTTTTTTGAGCAGTGAAAATCACTTCATAAACATCATGTACAAATATTTGTAAAAGTAAAGATATTTGATGTTTCCAATTTCTTATTGAATTGGATGAAAAAAACTTACCTTTTGGACTTTCATTTGCCTTAAAAAAAATATGTTTTTTTTTTAAAGATCATTAACACTTCAAAAAAATTTAAAGTGCTCTGAATATATGTATTATACTTAGTCCTAGTTTCAAACGCACCTTTTGAAAACGCGTGCACTGACCACCTGATGAAATAGACGGATTAATGCTCACAAAACCAGATAAAAGTCTACACACGTTTGTTCCTCCTTGGATTAGGTCCATTCCGATACAATTTTGATTTCTGTTACACTCTAACCCACAATTCAGCAGAGGCGAGGACTTGTTTTCTAACGAGAATTCATCCAAAACACAGGATCTAGACGGCACCTGACCACTCTGAATGACAAAAAACCCGTTTTCTACCACTGTCATTGAAACAAAGGGCAACATTCTACATAACACTGTTATAAAGAAGCACATCGACGCCTCCATTCCCTCCAGCAATTAATTACACGTATTAGTCTTAGTAGAAGATACTCAAATATATATTTTACTCGTTCTCAAGGATATATGAAATCCAAAATGGGTTATACAATCGAAAATTGCTAATTAAAACAGAGAATTGAACTAAAAAAATAAAATGCTTTCAAGTCTATGCTATATCCTTTTAACCGAGGTTTTAATCGAACTTTGAGATGCATTATCACATTTAATATAAAAAATTTAAATCAATATCTGTTCTGATACAGGAAAACCAACATCCGACGGGTAAAACAATTTCTCCCGGACGTCATGGTGTAAAGCATTGCTAAAGATTTGATTTTCAAGAGTAAATAATAAAAAAAAACCCAATATATTTCAAAAGCTGGAAGCTAAATGTTAGCAAACTAATGCATGTCGTCCTTGCAAATGCAGCAGCAACATGCAGTAGTTTAATTATTGAGAATTTCATTTAAGGATAATTAAATCCTTAAGCTTTCAAATAGTTTGTTAATCAAATATTTTTGTTTCATTTGCATAAATGAAACGATATATTTGCTCACTAAAAAGCTCAGACCAGATGTGCTTTTTCGTACTTATTTTCATACAATCTGTTTCATGACACAATGTCTCCCTAAATAAAGCTGCCAAGTTTTAATACGAAAAGATATGCACCAGAAAACATCATATTTCATTTTTGAAAAATTACGAAAAGCAAAAGAGCGATGCTTTTAAAAATGTTATCATTGTACATGGACAAGTCCATTTTTTAAAAAAAACTGCTCTGTCAATTGGGATACTTTTGTAACAAAATCGTTGGATTTACAATTATGACTTAGAAGCAGGAGGATATAAAGCTTTTGTGTATGACAATAAGGTGCAAAAGGGGCGAATTTTCATATGTATATTCAGTAATATTTTGTTTTAATATTTAATTACATGTATATCTTTCCGATTTCTTACTTCATTTTATTTGTATTAATAAGTTGTGATGCATTTGTTGTCGAAAGTTCCATGTTGAAATCGGGTAAATGCGATGCAATATTCATTGTTGAAACCTTAAAATATTATTCTTAACGTCCCTATCATTATCTGTCACTCGCCAAATATTTGATCAACAGGTATGATGTCATTGGTAAGGCATTTATCCACGTGATAATTCATCCTTTATACCATCAAAAGTGACAAGATGTACTTTATATTTTGTTTAACATGTTTCTATTTATTTCTAAGATCTGGAGTAAATCTTTAAATATAGTACACGTCATATAGCTGACTATGACGTCGTATTGTATAGGCAAGTTATCATAATATTATCTGTTTGTAGCCTTAACTTACCTGCGTTTAAAATCTGCAGGTTAGAACCAATTTCGACAAAAAAAATCTGACAGTTAACGATGTGTAATCTGTTTCTTCTAAATACAAAAATTTCGAAAATATGTATTGTCTGCTACAGTGACTACATATATATATATTTGTCAAACAAAGAAGAAGAAGAAAACTTAATACATACAGTGATAGAGTTTAATAAATAAAACTGAAAACACGACTACTTATTGAAAAAAGATTCAAAAAGTATTCAAGAGAAGATATAGGGTATATTTAATCGACTGATATTGTATCGAGGTGAAAAATGAAATGAAAAATTGCTCTCGTCTCCACATGCCAATCAATACAGCACTACTCCCCAGCTATTTTCCCCGATCCAGTAGAAATATTGCCTTAGTCTTGCCAGTGATATTGTGAAATCTTCGAGTATTATATTTTTTATCAAAAAGTAAAAGTTCTCGGACTCATTTGCATGGGTGAGTTAGATAAAAAACTCCATTTACGCATTTGTGTTGAGTAACAAATAAATATATGATTTGGATTTTTAGTAGAATGACATAGCAGCCGGGAAATAACTCGGCAGCTATGTCAGAATTGTGGAGAGGATGATCATCAAATATTTGAACAATTCAATACATGTATAAGGAAACAATACGGTCAGTAAGGGATTCAGCTCAATGTTCCAACTTCCAAATAGCTAGTGGACATTTATAATTCAATTTTAGCCAACCTAGATAAATATGCAACATCTAAGGTTTACTTTCTTGATTTTCAAAGGCTTTTGATAAAATCTGACATAAAGGAGTTTTTTTTAATGTAAGCGTCATATGGGATCATGGTATTTTGCTGAAATGGATTGAGAATTATCTAGATGACATACTTGTAGTTATATCCGCAAGTATCTTACGGGGCTGCGTTCTAGGTCCTTTATATACCTCCTGTAGATTAATTACAAAGTGGGTAATTAAATAAACAAAATAAGACTGCTTGCTGATGACACATAGAGTTTAAAGTAATATATAATGCTCCTTATGCATTTATTATGCATTTATCAATGTATTTATTTATCAAAGTCAGTTGGAAGAAAGTCGCCACGTGGCGCAGTGGTTATCGCGTCTGCTTTAGAGTCGTGGAGTAAGGAGTTGATCCTTACATCGCGGGTTCGAATCCACTGCGGGACGTGGAGATCGGTCCTTCGGATGAGACCGTATAAACCAAGGCTCCGTATCGCAGTAGGTGTTGGCACGAAAAAGATCCCTCACTGCTCAATGGCCCTAAGTGCCGAATAGGTATAAATTTGCAGCCCTCCACTGGCAAGTCATGGCATCTCCATATGAGTGAAAAATTCTCGAGAGGAGCGACAAACAACAAACAGTTATAAGAAATACGTCTGCATTTCATACAACTGACTTAGATAAATAATACATGTATATGGCTTCATCATCATCTGTGATTTCATCTGTTAAACATGTATTTTTTTTTTCAATATGTACATTTAACCATCCCCATGCTTACTATGCTTGAAATCGTAGTCTTTTTAAGCGAATTAAAGGCAGGATGTCGCCTAGGGCTTCTTTTCAAAATGAAGCTAAATGGTCATCTCATATAATCAAAATATATGTATACAAACTTGTTCTTGATTTAACTTTTTAGAAATTCTTAAATATTTATTAGACAGGAGTGCACTGATAACAATTTATTTTGATTTTATTCCGCTAATTTCAGAATATGATTGAATAGTTTGGGATAATTGTTCACGTGGAAATTCAAATCTTTTAGAAAACATACAAGTAGAAGCAGCTAGAATAGAATATCAACAGGCCTTTGGAAAAATTCATCCAGAAATGCTTTGTAATTAGAACTAGACTGGGAACCCTTAAAAAGAGAAGGAAAAACAAAAACTTTCACTATCCCCCAAAATACTGTACATCAGAGCTTTTTTTTATCTTGTACAATTGGTTCTATACCTTTGAAGCCAATGCAACATGCTTAAAACCTTTGAAATACCGGTTATTTCAATTTTAATTTAGTTTAAATTTGTCACACCAAAAGTGAAAGCCTAATATTTCAATAGTATATTGTCTTGTACTACCCAGTTATGGAATAATTTACAAATTTATTAAATCAATGTATTTTATTATGATTGACATGTTTCATACCAATTCTTAAAGTTTTTATATCAACTTTCACTATGGATTAATCTCGTTTACTTGCTCACTATATACAGAGAGCTCAACGCGAGTGTGACTGGTTGACAGAGGATGCTTACTGATGAAGCAAAATTTATTTAAAAAACTACATCATGAAAAGAAGTCTCTTGTTGTAGCCTTTAATTCAACTTTAGGTATATCTACTAGTATTTTAAGACAATTTTCATTCCTACGTTGATTCGATATGTACTCTTGAACTCGAAAAATAAAGATACCACAAAAACCTAGAAAATGCACTTTATGAGGATGCTTACATACTCATATGACAAACCATGACCATATTGTTCTTGAAAATTTATTAAAGACTTTTTCCCTTTTTATCCCCATGTAAAAATTTTATCCCCTAGTGTGAGTTATTGGTGTGTAAATCACACATACTTGTCACGTAGGCATATTTCATGAAGCGTGCTAGCGCTTCGTGAAAAATATGCCTATGTGTTTAAATGCACCAAAAATATACTCAGTGTTTGAGCTTGTCGATGCACTATATCGTCATATTTTTATTAACGTCCCTGTAGCCTCATTGTGACGTCATTTTAGCGCCAGTTTTTCCGTGTATATTTCTACGCGTGAGTATACACAAAAATAGTTTTCAAATCTATTTCACAGTTGGCTTAGTAGAAAAACACAGCAAATGTAAATATTCCTTTATATACCCATATAAGAATTTGATGTCTTAATATAGCCACACTCTACCCCTAGAAGCATAATATGAACAAATTCAAATCTGAATCACCTGAGAATGCTTGCATATTCATATGACTAAGCAAGATTTTGAAGGCTTTTTCCCTATATAAATATTCCAATGTCAGCTTTTTATCTCCTTTGTGGACAATTATTTGGAAAAGAAATTAATTCTATGCTACCTGATGATGTTTGCATAATAATATATCCGTTTTGTCCTTTAAAAGAATAACCTTTAAGATATGTTCTTTTATTTTGGTTGCATCCTTTTACTTTTGACGTTGATTTGAATAAAAAAAAAAACAGTTCTACAACACCTTTTTTAAGCTTATGCTTTTGCATAATTTTTATCTTTCAAAGACTAGTGGTTTTTGGAAAAAAAATTTTTAAAGATGCAACCAGATTTTTATTAAATTCTTAATGGTATGCCCTCTAAAAAGATACAATTATTGTGAACATATGTATTGTCCTTTACAAAACTTTGATATTTCTTATGCAAAATATAATTGTCATGTACAAATTTGCATAAGAAAAATAAAAAAAAGTTTCATACTTGACAGTATCCCCTGTAATGTAAAAACACATAAGATGTGCTGAAATGACCATTAAGGAAAAAGCGAGAGTTGTTGGAAAGTTGGTGTCTTAGATTGTCCCTACCACAGGTTATAATCACATTTATCCCATTCTTTTTTTCTTGCCCAATATTTGCCCTAATTTGGCAACCTGTATCAAAAGAAGATTTATAATATTTTTCCTCTCTTACAGGTTGCACGTCATTTTGATAAACAACTTACAGTAATCCGAAAATTTTAGGCAAAATTCAATCAAACATGTAATTTTTGGGATATTCACCGAAGTCCAAGGTCTTTTATCACAAGCAGAGGTCAGGATCAACATCATTCTTCTCATCGTCACTTGAGATAAAGACAGAAAACGACCACCTCAAGGGAAGTACAAACGAATGGAATCCATGGCCATCCCATATCAGCTCAAGCAGTCTGCGATCGTCTTAAGGAGGTTCATTTACATGCCAGACGTCCAAGGAGAAGGTTATTGCTGACCAAGTTGACATCAAGCCGCACACAAAGACATCTCAGATTTATCGGAACTGACTAGACAAATGTCTTCTGTTGAAAAAAGAAAAATTTAGTTACAGGGTCTGCTAATCAGAGGTGCATTATATCCAGAAGGCTGTTTTGCTGTAATTAGAGCCAAAACTGATCGCACTAATTGTTTGGTGATGTTTGATTATGAGGGTGTGTCATGTCAGGGGTTTTTTGCTTTGAAGGTTTATGGGATAGGACCGGAAATTCATACAACATCCAAATGAAATATGTATCATTTACTATGTATATTAAAGTTTTACATAATGTTTGTGCTTAATTCATATACTCATCAGGCCCGTAGGAAGCAATTTCAGTTTGGGAGGCACAGCCATACATTTTCAGTTGAGGGGGCACTATCAACTACCAAAAATTCCTTGACAAACAAAAAAAAAGGTTTTTACGTTTTGACGTTCTTATTGAGGGGGCACAAGCATATAGTAGCTATGTTTTCTATAGTAATCTATATATCAGCAAAATTATTGGGGGCACGACCCCCCGGTGGTGCCCCCCCCCCGGTTCCTACTGCCATGCTCATACAAATACATGTATTTGATGAATACTACAATGTAGTTTAATGTCAATACCGATATTACATTTTACAAATGCAATTATTCATTAAAACCATTTCTTGTATTTTTTCATAAGGTCTAGTAAATATTCTAACTCAATGCTCAATATAAAATCGAAATGCAATTACTAGACTTACAAGTATATATATTTTTATGAAAAAAAATAAACTTGTAGACAATTCTTTATTTCAATATAGATGCTTAAAGGGAAAATTTATCGAGAGGAAATTACAACTCTACAGGCAATCAAAAAATGCTTCTAAATCTAGAAAATCAATTAAAAGATGCCTACTTGTTCCATTGATTTAATCCCAAATGATTAAAGAATGTATGTATAAATTCGGTTTTCCGTACTTACATTTTCAAATAACTTTGAGTACCTCATTATGAAGAATAGGGCTTCAAATACAGCGATTTCTGCTTCAGAAACAATCACAAATCAGCCAGGATTTTCTGAGGGTCATTTTCATCTGTGAATATAATATTTAATTAATTTGTTGTCACTATGTATGTATGCTTTAATTGAGTTGCAGTCATTGTTTCATTTCTCGTTATCTGATTTACTCTGATATTTTATAATACACGTAATATCACTATGCTAGAGCGAGCTGGACCACTTGGACTTCCGGTCAGATTTCATTATTCGTTTATTCGTATCAATCTCTTCTCTTGTTTTTTTCCTTCCGTATTTTTCACATCAAAGCAGATGAGCTCTCTCTCTCTCTCTCTCTCTCGTTATCAATCACGCTCTTCTGCGTATAAAATTTATGATTTCTTCGATTCTTTTATACATTTCATTGATTTCTAGATCTCGTGACGCCATGTAGTCAGAAATTAAAACACAGCAAGATTGTGAGAATAAGAGAAGCTGGTGGCAAAATAAAAAGATACTGGTATTTAACTAGATTAGTATATTAATATTGTGCCTTGAATTTATTTTGGGTGTACAGAATTTATTGTTTTAAAAGAAATGAACCTATAACGCTTTCATTCTTTATACATCTAAATGTTCATCGTTAAGTGTTCTTGAACAGAAAATAATGAGAGTTTACACAATAGAACCACAGGATATTCATGTTTTCTCTTTATGAAAAAAATAACAAAAATATACATATATATTTAAAACACATAATAAATTATAAAAATCTATTCAATATTTTATAAAATTTTATACTGCTAGTAAAATAGAATATTTTATAATAGATAAGTTGGCATAATCTACTATACATGACTTAATTTAACTTAAACAACATTTTACTCACAAAAGGAAATAGGATTGGACATGAGTTGAAAGTTACATATACATTGTACATTTATGAAAAAAATGATTCTGGTTGATTTATTTACAAACAACTTCAATTTAAGTTTTCCAGGACAATTCAAGTTATGATAGATATTTTAGTACAAAAAACAAACTTATCCAAAGAAAATTTAATGATTATATCGAATACTACCTGTAATTTAAGACAATAATTTTTAATCCGTCACTGATTAAATAGTAGGCACCTGATCCCGCCTCTGATATTTTTAGTGGTCCGTGTTGGCTTTGTTGCCAAGTTGTATAGTTTCAGCGGATTTTAAGCTTGATTCCCGTTTGTTATCTCCATATTTCATACGTCCACTCCCTCTGGCCGTTTGATAGAGTCTTCCTGTCCCCATAAGGCTGTCTTTCAGGCAGACTGTCTCTCTTTGTTTTCCAAATTTTTTTCCCTAGACACTGCATATTTTGAGCTGAGTTTTGGTAACTGAGTGTAAAAAGTGAAAATAACGAAGATTGATTTCAAAAGATCTATTAACAATACTGTGAACAGGGCATAAAACATGGACCCCCGGAAATTCCAGAGATGGGATCAGGTGCCAAGGAGGAGTTAGAATCCCCAGTCGACCGGTCACACGAGCCAAGAGCCCCGTGTATTGATCAATAGACGGAATATTCCGTAGTCAAATTTAGTATGAAACCAAAAGCTTAACAGCTGGGCTGCGTTAAAGATCGTAGCGGCTAGCCTAGCGGGTAGGTGATAGATATCTATCTCTATTGAACGGACAGCTAGCGTAGCCGCTAAGTCTAAGATTTGGGATAAAAATATATCAGTAAAAACTTATTTTTGGAACAAAAAAGGTTTATTTCAAGCGAAAATATATATGTAAATATACAATTAATTCGGTAAGATCTAGAAAATAATTCACCGTTTTATTAAAATCTAATGTGCTGTGAAGTTGTAACTAAGCAGGCCATCTTGGATTTTTACTTAGCAATAAATATTTATGCTAGCTCTCCCTACGTAGCAGCTAAGTTAGCTCTCCGTTCAAGAGCATAGCTTTACGTAGCAGCTACGCTGTTGAACGCACCCCTCGTGTGAAACATGTCAGTCACAATACGACCCAATGATAGGTTGTATTTGCTAAATAGGTCATTATAACGACCATAAAATTTAGGACTTTAAACGAGGTTGTAGAAATCCCTGTAACACCAACCTATCTGTCAGTAATCTGCCTAGGTTAAAAAATTCATCATACTCATAGCATGCTCTTGAGTATCGAATAAGTTGGGAAATGTAAACACAATATGCAAGTAATAGCGGAATACTATTACACAAATAAGAAAAGATGACGATGGAAAAGCTGAAGTCATGTCATACAATTTAGTTGTTAGTTGGCTCTTATCGTCTATAGTTAGTAGAACATCCAGATATGAAATAGATGTGACAAACTCTGTGGTGTCTTTAATTTCAAGTTAACTGGGATATCGAGTCGACATATGAATGAAAGTAACTATTGTTAATTGATAAGACGTCATCGATATATCTTAAGTACAGTTCACAGGAAGGCTACAGTAAGTGATTTCTTCATCTTATGCATGCGTTGAAGAGTTTCTGATAAAATTTGAATCTTGTTCCGATTTGATGAATGTTGACGGAATTTCCTTATGCGATGCTCCCAGATTGCTTTTTAATTTTAATTTCCTCGGCAAAAAAAACAAAACAAACTTAATTACTGTCAAAATTAGAAGTTGTAAAGCGGCATTGAAATTGCATGTCTAGTAACAAAGATTTGCTACATCTGAAAATTTGACAATGTATCTTTTATCATTCAACTGAAATACATCTTCCATCGTCCATAATATTCAAATTCAGGGTTTTCTTATCATCATCCTCACTTCCTTCATGGAATAATAGAATCCTCTCCAGGCGTACCAGTTGATGCCGTTTGAGTTGTCCGTGTTCCCGTACTCACCATTAAGGTTAGATCTATGACAAGAATTATACCACCATCCTCCCATTCTACCAAGGGCGCAGTTGTAACCAGGGTTCCTATCGTTGTCGTTATCAAAGGTGCTAAAGAGCATGTCGTTGTGGTAGAGAAAACTGTCCCCTGTAGATTGATTTAAAAATTAAGATGAGAAAGCTGCACACTGTATTATGTATTGTAAAAGGCTTCATCAGTATTTGTGTAATAAAGAACATGTCCCTTTAAAAAAAAAGAATGCATTTTTTAGAATACATTATAGCATTGTCTATTTCTTAAAAAAAAACTTCTATCGTCTAGATATGTAACGTGTATTATGTATTTAGCTATGCTTGTTTCTAAACAGGCGAGAGCAAGACAAACATTCATTCTATCTATCTACATTCAAATTGTATCTCTGTCCATACACACAAACACGCATAATTAGAGAGAGAGAGAGAGAGAGAGAGAGAGAGAGAGAATCTAGTAAGTATGTACCAGCATTTCCGGAATAGCCCGATACGTGTAATCTGTACTCTGAAGTCGCACCTTCGATGTAGAAGGTACTATACTCTGCATGTTTCCAAACGCAGTCATGATCCATCAGCTCAATCCTAAGATGTGTATATCCTTCATTTGTTAGGTGATGTATGTTTTCATTACCTGGGTATATAACATATGAGATGATGTATTTTCTACTATATAAATTGTGATTTGTTGTGACCAGCATCTTGTACACAGTACAATAATTAATTCTATAATACTTATCATGAATCATACTTTGTTAAGGTAGTCCCACCCTCAGGTTCTGAAAATCAGTTGTTAAGTAATTGAAAATGTCTTTGATAACTCTTAAAATTATTATTTAATTTTAAAGTCTCAAAAACAGTTTGAAATTGAAATGTTTTCGTGCAACAATTTTTATTTCATCCCATTATGATTCAACGTTCTTTGAACCTTGGAAACGATTTTATAAAAAGTTGACATTTGTATCTCATAAAAATACAAAATTAAAATATTTTTAGAGAAATCGAATTTCCTTTAATCTAGCCTATAAGCATGATACACGTATGAACTATATGGAGATAACGAACAGTATTCAAGCTCAAAAGTTCATTCAAACAATGCAAATCAGGAGCAGAGCAAACACGAACCCTAAAAACAACATGCAATTTTCTACGCATGCCTGGATACCTATAGTTTTTTTATCCTAAAAGATATTTGTTGATCACTTTTCAATTAGATAATGGATAGCTGGTGCTTGTATTCGCTTTACCTGAAAATATATTCGAGATTTGATAATTTTCCCTATATAATATGTTTAACTATAATCATGTACTTTGAAAAAATATCATGGGTAAATACACATTACTTTGTGAATTCAAAGACATTTTTGTGAGCATTTCAATTACTTCACAGCTGATCATCAGAACCTGAGGATCGGACTACCTTAATCTTTAATACTTTCAATCAACATCAAATAGTAAAATTCACTTTACATGAGTTAAACTCCTAAGCATCAGGTTGACTTTGTCTAATAATAAAAGAAGTTTTTCAAAGTTTTATTTTCAAATATATAACTGATAAAGCCCCAAACTTCGTAAAGGGGTCATGGATTACATACTTTTTGTAGAGGACACCTACTTATTATAATGAAGCAAATAATTAGCAATCTATGTCCTATGTGTGTCGGTATTGAATAAGGTCTAATTGTTTTCTCCCTTCCTATAAGCTATTTCGTTTCCCTTTATCCTTAAACTCTAAAACTAGTTGAATCTCACAGAATCATATAAGATAAGAAGCTTAAAAGGTTCAAATGATCATTGACAACGTATGACGGACGCTGACGGACTAAAACAGATGGCTATAAGTCACCTGAGTGAGTTTACTTCAAGGAGATATATGTAATAACAGTATCGCATCAACTTCCTCCATAAAATTCAATGACATAATATTTAAAAATGGAACTAGGGTAACATATGCAAAAAATGACCCTGTCTATAGAATATATTAATTGGAATGCCGCCCCATATCCTATCTCAAACATTCTCAGAAAGTTTAGAAAACGTCACTTATGACATTTTGTGTTTTTGTGCAACAGACTAAATTGCAATTTTACAAAAAAAAATCAATAAAGAATTAAAATATAATACAAAAATTTAAGTATATTTACATTTGCATAAAAGATTAAATCAAATGCTAAAAAACGCTCATCTCTTAAGGTTCTCTTACCCTCTAATAAGCGAAATAACCCTTACTGGGATTAATGACTATTAGATGTATGAATAAAACAATGATTATTCCTTACGTTTTCAGTAAACTATAATCCCTATGTCTTTTGAGGAAAAAAATCATATTTCTATGAAGCAAAATTTTATTATATTTGAATTTTTGACGATAAAAATGCCCAACTTCTAATCTGTAATTGTGTCAATTTGAAAAGTTCTGAAATTTCCTTAGCGTCATTTAAGATACATGTACCTATCCAGAATTCGGAGTCAGGTGAGCCAAATCCTCTTTGATATTGTGTCCAGTTTTGCTTAAAGTTCACGGATCCATCAAATCTCCTTTGGATAATCTACATTAAAGATAAATGAGATGAGTACAGTAGTGAGTTATACGCTCAAAACCTGAAACAAGACTCATCAATTTGATAATCTTTTTTTCATGAGTTTGTTTTGGAATCCCGACTGTAAATGGAATGTGGATTAGTTGAAGGCATTAATCTTTAAGTATGTTAATAAACCACTTATCATTAAGAAACTTTGAATTGCATACGCAAATCATACCAAATTTTGGGAAAGCAATTCACTGAAATTTAGAGATAAAATTGAAACAAATTCTGGCAAAAGCGATGTTTTTCTTACTCTTTTACGTATATTATAATTCATGAAAATGTACCGTTAAAACTCATGCTTTTGTTTCTTGGGAATTTTTTTAATACTTATCTTCTTGCAAGAAATAAGAAATATTGTGTACTGTGGTACCGTCCATAAATGACTGTCTTGGTGGCAAATGGTGGAGGCTGAGGCATTATTAAACAGTGGTATACTGCAGTAGAAGTCTCGACCTTAAAAATTAGAGATTTCAATATATTAATCTAATTTTGAGGATGACAGCAAAATATGAAAAAAAAAAATTTCTGACAAAATGAAGAAAAACGTAAATTTTAAGGAAAATTGTATCACATCACAGGAGAGAATGAACATGAAAATCAGAAGACTAATGCTCATATCAATATATTTGTCTCTGTTAGACTCACTGTAGAAATACATTGTATTCTATGGTTGCGCGGCAAAGTCATGCCTTTTCTTACGAAAACGTTTATTCAAGAATACACTGTATGTCTTACATATTTTTTCTGTAGACAGAAAAGATGATTTTGAATAAATATTTTGAAATTCAATGATGTACCTTGATTGGTTTTAATTATATGACACCAGTCCACCAACTTTTTGATAACCCCTCGTGCATGTACAATATCAATTTGGCCGAAGACTCATATCTACCAACATTTTCCTCAATTTAATGGTTATACACAGAGCTTGGTCTTAAAAATTTCTAAAAATCATTTTACTTGTAAGGGGTAATAGAAAAAAAAATGGCTTGAACCAAAGACCTTCCGATCATAGGGTGAGCACTCTACCGAGAAGCTTATATGACAGTAATTAAATGTTCTTTTATTGACTCAAAATGATGGCATGGGGAAAACGTTATTACAGGTACTAAAAATCCAAAACAACAGGAAATTTGAAATGAAGCTGAGCTATTTCTGATGAATTTCAAATTGTAAAAATCCATTCAGCTTTGATTAATATAACATTTATTTATGCTTAGCGTTTCCGAGCACTTTCATTACTTTGAATAAGATGAGAAAAACTTACCTTTAGGATTTTTATTTGACTGAAAGGAAAATAACAAACAAAATTATAACAAAAAAAAAATAGTTTTTGAAAAAAAATTCATAAGGATTTTTTTAAAAAAAATTATAGAGATTTCTAACATTTTTAAATTCGTCATAGATTTATGCAAACCTTTTGAAAACGAGTGCATTGTTCAGTCGGTGAAATGGACGGGTTTATGGTACTAAAACCAGTTAAGAGCCGACACACGTTTATTTCACCTTTAATTATATCCATTCCAATGCAATCCTGATTTTTGTTACACTCTAGACCACAACTGATTCCAGGCGAGGATTTATTTTTTAAGGAGAATTCATCCAAAATACAGGACTTATAGGGTACTTGCCCTCTCTGGATGACAAGGAATCCGTTTTTCATTACTTCCATTGAAACAAAAGATAACATTCTGCACAACGCAGATATAAACAAGCATCTAGACGGCTTCATTCCTTCTCAAACTTAATTTTACGCGTTGATCTAAGACGGAATCACAAGTATATAGATCGCAATTGTTTTTTATCTACAAAACAATCCAAAAAGAGTAAAGCAATGAAAGATATTGGTGCTTTGATTAAAAAAAGAAACGGCTTTTAAGTTCATGCAATGTCCTTTTATTATAAGGTTTGCAGTTTGGTTAGGTACTTAAACTCCATAAATGAAATAATTAAATGGATTTCTGAGATTCATATCACAGATAAGCACTTTCAATCAATATCTGTTCTGAAACAAAAAAAAGGACAAAGTTTGTAATTAGAGAGGGTTTTTTGCTTAATTTTACGACCTCTAGCTGTTGTAAAGGTTTTATAATCATGTTATCCATACGAAGTAAAATGCTTGAAGATTTTTTTATGTTTTCGAACGAATTGTATGCAGTCCTTTGAACGAATTGTATGCAGTCCTTTGCAAATGAAGCAAGAACATGTATTAACTTAATTTTGAAGAATTTCATTTGAGGCACTTAAATCATCTCAAAAAATTCTGACGATTTTTTTGAAATAAATGTATAACGACATATACTCATGTAAACTGATTAACCCATCTTAGAATACCTTATACTTATTTTCTAACAATGTGTTTTATACTACATGCACCTAAAAATTCAAAACCGAATTTTAACATGGGAAGTTATACACCAAAACACAAGCACATATCTAATTAGGTGAAGATTTATTAAAATCAAAAGATAATCACTTGTGTATTGTTGTTTAAAACAATCTATGTTAACTACAACAGATTGTCTATTTTTGTCGGAACTCTTCCGCCAATTGAAATAATTTTTATTCTGGTTGACAACTGAGTGCAACATTTTGTTTGCGAACTCTTTACTTCGAGTTACCTTAAGTAATTCGAGGTTGCGCCGGGTTTGCAAACACGGGTATTTAAATTGTTAGTAGTCTTATTAATAATTAACTAAGTTAACAATATACAATTATGTGCATAATGGGCTTATTCTAAAGCAAAATCTGACATTTCCATTTCGCATAATATTGATTTCATCTCACATGTTTAGTGACTTTTTGATCATCCCTAGTACATGTATATGCGATGAAAATGGTGCAAAGGAATTCAATTTTCATTTACATTAGACAAAATTTCTAACGCAGCACCTAGGAAAATAAATCGATATCTTTTCAAAACTGATTTATGATGTATTTGATATGAAATTATGTTACTTAAGTAAAAACAAATGAATTAGGCATTTAAATATCTTAACTGATAAAAAAAAACTGCAATGTTAAAAGAAGTGTAACCACTTCATAGGAAATATGAAAATCGTGCCCATACTTTTGAAGAATAAATTTTATTTCTTTTTCTTTATGTTTGTGATTTGTTTTTTGAACTAATTGAAAACTCAGAAAAAAAATCACACTGTATGCCGCAGTTGACCCTAGAGAACGTGCTAAAACAGTCCGACAGAATATTCCTTTGGGGAAAAAATTTAAAAAAAAAAAAGAAAAGAAAAGAAACAAAGAAAGAAACAAATTGAAAGATTATTCATTCCTCTTGTAAAAAAAAATGTAAATATAAAAATGTTTAGATAGCCATGACATTAAGTAAGCACCACACGACAATTTTAAGATAGTGCCACAAAATTAGGGCAACTCTAAGTCGTATAGAATGAGTATAGACACCAAGGCACTGGACGACTACTAGGCAATATGATAGTCAATCGTTGTATATTATTTGATTTTAACTAGGGAAAATGCATCTGTTGCAACCTCACGGATCACCATCGGTAATCACCAACTTCATTTTTAGGCCAAAACGGCTTATGATAAAGAATGACACTTAAAATCCTTTTCACAGTTTTGGTCATATTGGAAACATTATGAGTTTGAACTTGAAAACTGTACGTTATCTCCTTATTTCATGATATGTTTAGCGCTTACATTAAGATTGGCACTTAAATCTTTGTTTTCAGTTATAGTCAAATTGAATACAGGATATCTTTTAAAGGGATTGAGAGTTATCTAGATGTTCAATGTAGTTTTAGATGGATTATTTTCGTCTTTTAAATCCATATCTGCATGTTTACCGCAAGACTATTTTCTCTTTCTCTTATTCTACAATAATTAATATCAAGTGATCTATATTAATGACACAAGGGATTATTTATTTTAGAAAATAATGATGTTTGCTTATGACAGGTTCTTGTTTATAGTTTTAGATATTCGATCCTAATGCAGCAACGACATCTGTTGCTGTCTTGAGAATATTATTTTCTGGGCTTGCACATGGAGAGTAGAAATCAGTTCTAGTAAAGCCTATTCTTTAATTTTAAACATTAGAAGTTAGAACATTGCCTTAAACATAAAATTCCCTTAAAACTAAATTTTAAAGAGGCGCTCAAAAGTACACCGTGGTTGGTTAGATTCTGAATGTAAGCTTAAAGAGGTGCTTGGACACAGATTTGAAGTTAACATTTTCTCAAATTTTCTGCATAAATTCATGACTTATATGTTGCTATAGCATTTCATACTAAAATATAATAAAAATCTTATTTCATCTCGAAGTTATTGAAACTTCAAATTTATGGACGCGTTTGATTGACACATCCTTGCACTTTCACAAATTTTAATTCTATTCTCAATACTTAAAAAAAGTGGCAATTTTGTTTTGTATTAATGAAAAATATTAAAACTATAATCCAGAAAAATTCAGAGTAGAAATGTTCGAAAGCAAAATCCACTCACAGTATTGTCAGTCCGTGCTCAGTGGTGTGTGCAGACTATAACAATTAAACACACCCGGTGAATCGTAAACATTAACAATAACAGAGCTCGTGCCCTGTTTACAAAAACAGTTTATGTTTCACGGGTGTATCCAATTTGTTAAACTCTGTTCACAACACTGAGCACGGGCTGACGATATTAGTGAGGGGGTTTGCTTTCGCACATTTCTACTCTGAATTTTCTGGATTATAGATGTAATGTTTTTCATTAATACACAAAAATAGCTTCTTTTCTTAAATATTAAGGATAAAGATAAAATTTGTGAAAGTGCAAGGATGTGTTAATCAAACGCGTCCAGGAATTCATAGTTCCAATAATTTCCAGATAAAATAAGTTTTTAATCATATTTTCGTGTGAAATGCTATTGCAATATATAAGTCGTGATATTATACAGAAAATTTGAGAAAATATAAACTTCAAATCTGTGTCTAAGCACCTTTAACTCATTTGGAAATCAAAATAACAATTGAAAAGTTTATGTACTTGTGTAATGCTGAATTCTTGACATCATTTCATTTAAATGGAGTAAATGTCAAGGTTAAGAACGAGAAGGTTAAAGTCGATAAATTAATTTTGGTCAAAAAAAAATTTATGATAATGGTGAGCGAAATTAATGGACCGAGAGGAGAACTTTGCTATGAAACATGACTTTGCAACAGATATTTAGTATATTAATCTATTTCACAAAATTTGTAAAAGAACTTTTTCGTGCAAGGTAATACTTTGATATATGTGATAGAGAGAGAGAGAGAGAGAGAGAGAGAGAGAGTTCATAAATTTCGATCCAATAAAGAATAAGCTAAAACTTCACAATCTTTATAAATCATTATGTGTGGAGCTTCCAGAATCCATATTATTTACCTCTGATTGTAAGGTTACAGTTTAAAATTAATAATTGATACTTTAACCGATTCAGTGTATGATCAAATGATCTCAAATATCAAATCCAATATCTGTATTTACTTTTCAAACTTATTAATTGCTCGAATTGCTATTGGATACACAAAACCAAAGAGCCTTAATGAGTCTAAAAGTGTTATTGATACCAGATAATTGACTGATTTATTCTTTATAGGACAATTTGTAGGTTATCATGAGCTAGGAATTATCATTTTACATAAAGCAAGATTTTTTTTCAATTTCTAGAAACTGAAATGACTACAAGAGGTCTACTTATTTCTTTCCTTTTATTTGAACTGAAAAAGAACATATGCTACACATTGATTATAATGTATAAAGTTTTACGATTAATTTCCAAAAACTTCACTATTAAAAAATCGGATTTCATTTGGTATGACCGTTCCATTTAGTTTTTGCTCCAAAAACAATTACATGTCAATCAGGGATTTTCCGAAAATTATTCTAACTTCTGTTAAAGAGTACTCACATTCTTTCTCCGTGATCCAATTCATGTCCGTGAATGCAAGAATCCCCGAGGCTGTCATTTATTCTAAAAAGACACTAACTTTTGTACTACTTGACCTGTCTGAAGTGTGAGAGGGCCACAATAAATGCTAGCTTGATCCATGTTCATATAAATCAAAGCTGGGTGGTCAAAAATTACCCACTACATCCACCTTAAATATGAAGTGCGATTTTTCTGGCCAATGACTATCCAGCTATAATGTTCGATGCAATATTCTATATATTTGCTACCTTAAAAGTTTAGACTTTATCAAGTTAAACTTTACTATATAGTATAATGCCCATTGAAACAATAAAATCGGAACAGAGCAAACACAGACCTCTAAATAACATCAGAGGTGGGATCTGGTGCCAGAGAGGAGTAAGCATCCCCTGTCGATCAGTCACACCTGCCGTGTGCTCCTTGTCATGATCGGGAAAACAGAAAAATCCGTCGACAATTCAGTGTATAAATAATGGCCTTACAATTAGTAAGAAAATCATCAATCAGCATTCGACTGAATGAAAGCTAGTATTTGCTGACAATGTTGTTGTATTGACCATAGAACTTGACTTTAAACGACACTGTTGATATCCTTGTTTCATGAACTTGTTTGTCAATAGCTTGCCTCGTTTTAGAAATTATTCCAGTTGAGCATGCTCTAGCGTACCGAATGAACTTGGAGACATAAACCCAATATGTAAGTGATAAAGGTATATTGCTACATAAGTAAGGGAAGTGGAGGATAGAAAAATTAACGTCATCACGTTTATCATAAAGTTTTGTTGTTAGATCACAATTAACGTCTTTTTCTAGTGAAATATCCAAATATGAAACAGATGTGTCAGACTCTGTGGTATCTTTTATTTCAAATTCAATGGGATATATCGAATTGACATTTTAATGGAAGTAACTATTATTAATAAATTTTTCAGATGTAGTCGTTGCAATAAAATATAATCTTATTCTATATAAAATAAATGTAGTTTTTTTTAAATATATTACTGAAAAAAATGTTGCCAATTACTGTGCATAAATTATTGTAATACCATCTTGTACTAATAAGACACATCTACATATTTTGGGTATTATAAATCTATTAAACACTCAATACCATATTTCTTATATCAAGTTTTTATTAATTAAGTGATAGTCGGTGTAAAAAAACGGAACAAAGTTCCAACATAGTGCATAAAACAGATCAGCAGATTTTGAGTATTTTCTTCTGAATATCCTTCCTACTCAAGCCCCGTAAATCTTATTTCTAGCTAATTTTGTGAATTGAATGTTTTACAATTTGCATTGCTGAATTCAATAATGTTCTAAAATTAAATTGTAATGGATAATTTGGTTTTGACCAAACTTTTCTCAAAAACTTACGAGTGATAAACCATAATTTTGGTTTTGGCAAAGTCGTAAGACCTAAAATTAGTTTTAAAAAAGGTTACTTACCCTAAACATATTTACTATTATTTAGAATAGTTTCTAAATCACTTAAATTATTGTTGCATATTTTGTCACTATTTTGATACTTTTAATTGATAATTTAATTTAGGCCATGACACTTTACTTTCACTTTGATTTACTGAATGACTTTATTCTAGAACATATCTTAGATTTAGAACATTGATATCATTTAGAACATTGAATTATATCATTGATAATAAAAATGGCTTTATATCAGAAGCCCTATTAGGTATATAAATATAGTCAGACAGTAAGACAGACATTCACACAGATCAACTAAGTTTTCTAAAGACCTCTACTTTTATTCATTATTGTTATCTATTTTTGAAAAAGTGACGATTCATGAATTTACTACTAAGGAAATTCCCTTTACTTGTTTTCTGTCTAATTCTTACATGCATACCATTTCAAACTTGCAGCAAAACAAACTTAACATTGATCTTGTAAGAATTGTGACAGACTTGAATACAAATTCGGGAGATATTAATTCCATTAATCCATGAAATATTGAGGTAGACTTAATATATTATGATTCAATTTTTTTACTACTGTTTTCAGAGAAAATTAGGAATACACCAAACCATTTTGAAAGGTACATTAAATCCCTTTTAGGTATATAGAAATCTATTGATTTTTCATACTCAATAACAAGGTTTCCTGCAGGGAAAGTCATCAAAAGCTGTTAAATTACATCAAAACCCCTTTTAAGAATATAGGGAAAATGTCCTTGATCAAAATTCTGAAATTGTAATAAAGAAAAACATGATCAATACAAAAAAAAAGTTTTTTATTTGATTAGAACAATTCATGAGCTAGTCAGGAAATATAAACGATACAAACAAAAGTAACTGATTCTGTCTTATAGACATTGTCAGATGTCTTTGAAGTCTGCACACAATTTCTTTCAAAATTATCAATATGTAAATAAAGAGGTATATACCCTCATCATCAAAGTGCGTGTAGTTTCACGGAAAAGAGTGATTTTGAATTCTTTAAAGTTACTGGCAGTACTATCCATATGATAACAAAAGACCCCAAAAGGGTATACTGAAAACGTTTGAAGGAGTTTCCAGTGTTTGAAAGGATTATTACTAATTTCAGTATAAATTAGTTTTCACCACATACTTAGTACAGGATATCCCTGTCTCTGCTTTGACACTATTAAAGAAATGAAGAACCCGTGTTACCAATTTCACGACCTAATTCACAAGTCTAGACTAGTTTATAAGGAAGCTAAGCATATCCCAGGAGATCCCCCTCCCCCATTCCCATCCTTCCTACTTTGTCAAGAAAAGGTGAAGATACCAAACAGTTAGTGATCAATTTCATAAATCCAGTAAACAAAACAAATCGAAAACAGGGCATAAACAAGGACCACTGGAAACATCAGAGGTGGGATCAAGTGCCTAGGAGGAGTAAGCATCCCCTGTAGACCGGCATTTCCGCCGTAAGCCCCATGTATTGATCAAAAATAAGAAGTCCTCCACAGTCAGATTTAGTGTAAAAACAATCACCCAACAAGTGGATTGATTTCTTCTTTTTGAAAAGTTTGAAACTTCAAATTTTCCAAAAGTTTTCTGATTTTTTTTTTCTTTTTTAGAAGCCACTTTGATTTACACCACTTCTTGAATAATGTTGTTGCAAAGCACATGTACGTCTTAAGTTTAATTTTTAATAGTTTGGTGAGAAGTATGGATAAGGGCTTGGTAGAACAGGGCTCTATAATTGCATCTGGCGATTACTTTAGTCGCTATGGTGCCTAAAATTTCCAATTGGTGCTTACACTTTCTCCAAAAGTCCCCAAATTGGAGATTATTTTAAATTGACTCTGGCGACTGTCGAATTCCAGAGCTCAAAGCATTTATACCAATAGCTATTTTTTTAAAGTGGCTATAAGATATCCAAAAGTGGCAAGACTTAAATATGTCACCTGTTTTTCATTTGTCACATAATCCTCTTTTTGGATTTTTTTAACATTCAAAAAATGTTTTTTGCAAATACAGCTTGCGCAAAATTATTCAAAGCTTATCATTACATTGAAAATTGTAAAGATTTATTTATTGTAAAAATATATTGGTCTTTATTCTGACTATTATCATTTTATAATGTTGGAGCCTTAAAATTGGCCTGGCTCCTTCAAATTTTGCATTGGCGCCTAATTTTATAGGAAGCCAGCTGGCGCTCAAATTTTAAGGTCACTTTAAAGCCTTTTGAACATCTACTGGACCCTGCATTATAGCTTGGTGAGTATTTTTATGAGTCTTTGGAATTTACAATGTGTACGGTGAATCACACTTGCTTCCATTGACTGGAATGTTGAAAGTATTTGAAACTAAAAGGTGATTTTGAAGAACTTCATCTTTTGAAAGGGAACCGTGAATATATGTTGGATTACAGGTGTGGAATTAATGAAGTGTGGTTCGTGAAGTGGTTAGGTCCGGTCCTTTTTAGTTATATCGGACACATAAATCACATTGGAAAAGATTTCTTTTAAATTACTGAACATAGAAACATTTTTCCAAAATTTTTTAGAAGAAAAATTTATTCTAAAACATACAAGAAGACGTCTCTTGCTATGGCCTTAAATTCAACATTTTGATATATCGTTGACTTACCGGTAACAATATTCATAATCATTCATACGTTGATTCAAACAGTACTCGAAATAAAAGACTTCAAAAAGTCTTTACAATCTGTTTCATACCTAGATGTTTTAATAGAGAAATAAACTGATGGCAAAATAAGTACAACATATAATACATGTTAATCATAATCGTGATGACTCTAACTTTTAAATCGACTTTCCCCCTATTTGTGTAGCAATGTATCATTATCATCTTTAAACCGGTATGATGTTTGTCCCCAAGTTAATTCCATACACAAGGACATTTTGCATAAAAATGATTTCCAAACAAAAGCAGGCTACTGAACAGTAAGTTGGTGTTACAAAGGTATCAACAATCTCATTTAAAATCAACATTTCGCTTTATATATTTAAATCAAATGTTTACCGACATTTTTTCATTAAAACTTTCTGATAAATAGAGAGCTCAATCATGGTGGGCGTGACGGTTGACAGAGTATGCTTTACATGTTGATGACACCTAATCTCAACTCTGATGTTTCCAGGGGGTCCGCATTTGCTCTGCTCTCAATTGGTGAATTTTAATTGGACCTATGTTTGTCTTCACATTTTTGTACCAATATACACCATCATGAATTATATTACCATATTTATGAGATTATGAGATATAGTGACTCCTATTCAAAGAGAAATAATTCAAAGTATATTTAGTAGGTTTATAGATAAAACAGTTCCTTATTTTACTATGAACATTTACAAATTAAAGTAATCGTAATTGTGTATGTTCTTCTGTTGCAATACATTCCATACAATTCATAAAATTTTGTACATATATGTATTGTAGCATTTTAATTATAAAAAACAGGAATTAAAATATTTTTCATATGGCACAAAATGAGACATATAATAAAAATATTAAGGAGAATTCTTTCTTTATCACAACTATAAAAACCACTACATGTATTTTTCAGAATTCCTGACTTATTATGCTACATAATCTATAATATGTATACAAAAGACAAACTGTATATTTATTACGCACTCAAAATAAATTATGCTGCAATATACTGTGATTGAAAAATATCATTTAGGAGTAAAAAAAACCTTCTATACATGGCACACTATATACTGAGGAGCCTCAAATTAGTAAGAGTATTTAGTTAAATATCTAACTGTAAGAGAATATCAAAATAATTGTTACTTATATCCTGCAAGGTCACAATAGTATACAGTGTAGTAAAGACAAAATTCAACTACACAATCTGGGTAACAGTGGCTTACAGAATTGGCTTAATTAACTGGAGATCAGTCTGAGTCTAGCAGGAATTTGAAATTTTCATTAAATTAATACATTCATATATTTTTAAAGTTTTCATTTTCAATATCTTAAACAAACTATATACTTTCACTTACATACATTTACAGTTTGAAATTTCCAGATACTTTCCAAAACTTAACGCAAGATATTTTTGTTTTTATGATACAAACTCTTCCCTTTGCATCTGTAAATAAAAATACTAGTTTCATCAGTTAAAAATTTGAATGTCTGAGTTGATGCTTCAAAGTCACCTCATAGTTTACTGGTCGAGTATCTTAATTGGTCCTGAAGGTGTTTATCAGTTTTAAGGTAATGGGACAAAAATGCTATAATCCGCCTCCATGAATCTTCTTGAGCATAGCTATGGCTCTTTGTATGTCCTCCCCATATAGTGTTGTTTTTCTCTTAAAAAAAAAAATTATAACGCATTCAACAAGTAATTTGTTAAATGTAGATATAAGTAATTGTAGGTATAAGTAATAACTATCTAGTTTTTTGGTTTTACGTTGTGATCAAACAGTTTGCTCACATATATGTACACCAAAAGGCTTTTATGTGTAAAATTAGCAAACTGTTTATCATCATCATAAAAACAAATGACCAGATCCTTAATTTTAAAAAAATTGAGATATTTACATTATTCTAGACTTATTCAATAATTAGAAATCTAAGTCTGCAAGCTCCACCCAGTTACTTTTTTACAACTCCACACACAGCGAGAAGCAGTTCTGTAACATGAGCAAATGACTTTATGGAGATATAAAGTCATTACCTTATGCAGTCAAACCTCATTATCTCGAACTCGATGGGACCAAGAAATTACTTTGAGATATCCGAGGATTCGAGATATGCATAGTAAATTACTCAAGGAATAAGCGGTTGAGACTTCCAAATCACTTCGACATATCCATGGTATTCGAGATACCAAAGTTAGACTGAATTCAAAGTTTTATCTGAAAGACATTTGAAAAGAAAGGTGTTGATTTTTCTAGATAAGGACTTACAGATGTAAAAATTATTCAACATTAGCCAAAATCCCTCTGAAATAAATATGGCATTAAATCCATTTGTTACAGTTGAACTTCAATACCTCAAACACCAATATTTCGAAAACCATGGATATATCGAAGTGATTTGGAAGTCCCAACCACATATTCCTTTAGTATTTTACCCTTGATATCTCAAATCCTTGGATATCTCTAAGTTTTTTCTTGGTTCCCATCATGGAGTTTGAGATAATGAGGTTTGACTGTATTTATTCTGTTAGATATCCTCCTCCTTTCTTTTGCACTGAATCCTTACCCCCCCCCCCCCCCCCCCCCTGAAAAAAACAAAATCATAATGATGAACTTTCAATAAAAGCTAACAACTTACTATTATATCTATTAAATGAAACCCTACAGTGTGGAGAGTATGGCGGTTCTATAAGGTGCCCAGCATTTGGATATTTCACCAACTCAAATCGATGTTGATGATCCGAGGGTATTAGTTCCATGAAACGTTCAGTAATACTATAACTTAAAGTATGGTCATCTTCTCCAACAATACACAACACACAAGCTTCACTTTCCCATGCCTACAAACAGAAGAACAAACTTACATCTGACACTCATCACATTTTTTTATATAAGATTAAATGCTTACAAAAATTAAAATCTAATAAAACATCATAAATGTTGGTTATATATTCAAATAAATGTGGCTTTTTGTTTCCAGGTGATCATAAGGTGTATTTCTCGAAACATTGTCATGTATTTGAATATAACCAGTAAATGATGTTTTACTCTCTGCCACAGATGGTTTGCTTACTTACTTTAATATAGTATTCGTCTGTTGGGTTATAGAACCCTAATATGTCCATTCCCTCATTGGTTACCTTTACTTGATTCATAAAATTTCTGCCAGAAAGAAATGAAACAGAATGTTCTACATGAATTAATGTATCACTACATATACAAGCATAAGATTCTATTTATTCTCTTAGATATTATACTCAAAAATCTTTGTGAAGAAATCATGATACAACGGCCCACCTTTGTAAAGAAAAAAAAATAAAACTGTCAAAATGGGAATATGACCCTGAAGGGTACTAAATTAAAAGAACATTCTTAGGATAAGCTTACAAAAGAACATGGTCATCTTGAGAAAAAAATATCCTACATACGAGTATTTCTGTGGACTTCTCAACTGAATCTTGAAAATGTAGCTGCTTAAAGATTGTATCATCTCTAGTCATGAGCTACTAAGTACCTTTTTGTCAAGTATGAACAGATGACCTTTAACAGGCCTAGGATTAAAGCATCAAGGGCCAAGGAATACATCTTTTGAACAATCTTTTTGTCTAGTAAGATCTTCTAATACTCTTTTGATACAAAGTTTCACATTTTTTTTAATTTTATACTTTTCAAGTCCTTCAGAATTTGACAGTTTTCAATGCCATAAATTCGACCTTATCTAAATGACCTTGTTGAATTTGACAGTTTTCAACCCCATAAATTTGAACTTTTCTTAATGACCTTTTTGAGATCACAAAATATCATTGAATCATATTCAACCTTCTAGCCAAGTATAATTTTCTTAAATAATTATTATTCCATAATTATAAAATAATGGTATGGACAAGAATTTACACTTCAAATCCAGTATGCACTCCGATCCTTGTCCAAATGACAACTGTGACAACCAACCTTTGTATAAAGCAAGATTCTCTGTTTCTCCTCATCAAATTTATTGCCAAGACAAGCGTTTTACAAATTCGTTGACCTTGACCTTGTTCAAATTACCCTAGGTTAAGGGTCGGGACATGCCATAAAGTCTGACACAGGTGACTTTTGTTTCAAGTATTTCTCCTTTTCAGAGGTATAGGTACAAAATTAATTTCAATATTTTCATACCCTGTGAATTGACCTCATCCAAATGAACGATGTTCATAATTAAGACACAAAGAAGAAGGTATGGTTTAGCTTTATTGTGCCCTAAAAATTTAGTGTTTTCAAATAGTTTTGAAACTGGCTTAAATATTAGTTGAATATATGACTGTGATAAATCAGAAAGAATATGGCTCGAAGGAGTACCATTCTGGAAATATGATGTCATTAATTCGATGCATTTCTCTATTTTAAAAAGAAAAGGCCTCAAAATGACCCATTTCAAGGGTTACTTTCCTCAAGAAAATAGTATCCACAGCTGTCGCCTACTTTAATTTTCGGATATGTTGTGTAAAATCATTTGAAAAATCACACATCTTAAAATCTTTGTGGGCGATACCTGTGGACAACATTATCTGAAAGAAAATTCCATTACGAATTGGTGTCTTCTGCAACTTTTTAAGAAAATACAGGAAAATGCACAACTTTATGACGTCACAATTAGCATTTAGAAGGTCATGTGAGAAAAATGATTTGTTTGATCTTTCTGCATGGAATTTCAATGATTCAAAAATCATGAGTTTTAACTTCTTACATCACTTTCATTTTTAAGAAAAACACAGGGCAAGATTTGTATTGAAACTGTACATTGTTCTTTGATCACAAGTATGAGCTATTCCAGAATTTTACAGTATTGCAAAATGAAACCTCTTTAAAAATAAAGATATTTTAAAGCCATTCTTTATCACCATAAAACTAACATGGAAATGTCATGTCTGGAATTTCCTCGAAAGTATGTCTTTTTAGTCACTGTTACTATATAAACAAAGTCTTTCAAAACTCAAGTTTGGAAAGGACTTTTCCAATTACAGATCATATATCCTTCTGGAATCATCAAAGTGGGTCACCAATATACTTTTTGAGACAACTTCATGACACAAAAAAAAAATTTGAGTTTTCTCCATTAGCCATTTTGAAATGGGGGGGGGGGGGGGGGGCAATGCAGGGAAGCAAGGATAGGAAAATGTATAGTGGTGTAGATTAAATTGAAAAATGTTGCTATTTTGCCATATGGGATACCGTATAAGCAGAAATATTAGCGGGAATTCAATTTTGGCATTTTTAGCGAGGGTGAAGCGATCTATAAAATTGAATATTGCTAACATTTCATTCCAACATTGAAGGAAATGTTATCTCTCTATCCACCACTAAATCACTAGTATTACTTCTCACTAAAATTAAATACATGTACCTTTTTTTTTTTTTTGAAATATCGCTAAATTTGTGTTTTGCTAAAAATTCCACCGATACGGTAGCTCAATACTTTTTGGAAATATTATAGTGACAGGTAATCAAAAAGTGAAGGAAACTAAAGATTTCAAGTGCAAGAAGTGAAATGCTGAAGGACAAAATGGTGCTTACAATATCATGTTTACATGGTAACCTGAAAAAAAGAGAGAAAAGTCCTATACGAGTTGCTTGATTTTACATGTACATTGTAAGGTGTAATATCCCTCTCATAAGAGAGATAATTTTCCAAGAAAATTATTCCAAGAAATCCAATTAAATGTCTTACCAGAGTTTAATAATGAAGACCATTATATAATCAACTCATTCAAACCCAAACTAAGTTACAAATATTAATTTCTATTTTCTACTTGCTTATACTTTTATTGATTACTTATAATAGTTTACCTAAAACATTTATACTCAGTTCCTTTAAATTGTTAAAATTGAGATATCTCTATCTCTTAACATATAATTCTTTTAATTGTTACAAAAATTTTAGATGTAGACTAACCAGACTTTTTACGATCAATTAATTGATATTTTTGTTTGACTAAAAAATATTTTGAAGAACGATAACTCCTGAAGATGGAAAGATAACTCTAGTAGATAGATGCATTTTTATTTAATAAGCACAGAAAACAACGTGACATTCTGATTTAAAAAGCAACGCTTCATTATGTTTTCTAATGTGAATAATATAGGTATGATAGTAAATATTATTTTCATATATACCTCATATTTTTAATTTTATGGTGAGATAAAAAATTATTGATCTTTCTATTCACCATATCAATTTTTCTTCATATCGTGATTAGACATAATATTCATTTCTGAAAAAGTAAGCAATGCTTCATACTTCAAACTATTTTCCATTTGATTCTAATGCTATTGTTGATGATGAAAATCAATGTTGGGAATTTAAAAAAATTGGTGAAATTTAGAGCAGAGGGATAGTTCACCTTAAGGAGAATCACTATAACTAAGACTTTGAAAAATTGGTTAGAAAATGCACAAGTTTAAATGGTTTATATTACGGTATTATTATTTTTACAAAGTTTGAAGAAAAATTATAAGTAATTTTTCACTTATTTTTTCTAACTGAAACATATCTTTATACTCAAGACATCTTAAGTTTACACTTACATGTACTATTCATTTACAGACAGAAAATCTATAATATAGTTGAATATGAATTGGAGAAATAAGAAAATTTCTAATCTACTAAAGCCTTGCATTGTTTGTTCAGTTTAACATCCAGCTTGCATATACAATTCACTTCACTTTGATTAGATGAAGTGAATATTAACATTTTTGCAGAAAACATTTTGTAAGAGCAGAATCTCGGAGTAAGGGATTACTCCTTACGTTGCTGGTTCAAATCCACTGTGGGACGTGGAGACTGGTCCTCGGATGATACCGTATAAATAGAGGTCCCGTGACGCAGTAGGTGTTGGTATGAAAAAGATCCCTCACTGCTCAATGGCCGTAAGTGCCGAGTATAGGTCAAAATTTGCAGCCCTCCACCGGCAAGTGGTGGTGTCTCAATATGAGTGAAAAATTCTCAAGATGGACATTTAACAACAAACAAAAAACTTTTTGTGATGTTAGTATTAGTATTTGACTGAAGCACTGTTTATTGACAATTGCAAATTTAAGTTCCAGTGTATTATACATGTTACACAGTCTCTGACTAAGGGTAATTCCTTTGTTAGCTACAGACCCTAAAACGTGCTACTACACCTCAGAAACAAACCGTACCATTCCGTGTAAGAAGCGTATCGTACCATACAAGAAGCGTACCGTACTGTGCACAAAGCGAACCATACCATACACAAAACGAACCGTACCATGCAAGAAGCGTACCATACCGTGAACAAAGCGAACCATACCGTACACAAAACGAACCGTTCCGCGCAAGAAGCGTACCGTACCATGCACAATGCGAACCGTACCGTTCATGAATTATTTTTTAAATAATTATGCAAGCCACGCCCTGATCTTGCAATGACCAATTACAGTAAGTTTTTTTTTTTTTAAATTTCTTTCGACACAGCGCCCGTTAAAGAAGGATGGAAAATAACCCTAGAGATTCAAAATCTGGACTTACATGTACATCTGTTAATATAAGGAAACTACTCAAAACTAGTTACAACTTCGAAACAACTTGACAGAGTGTGAGGCGATTCTTTATTCGCTATGCACAATCGGGTTGTGCTTGATTAGCATTTTGTTTTCATATTAAATGCAGCATCGTAATATTTTCCTTTACAATTCATAATAAATAAAAGTGAATTAAATACTTTATCATTTATTTCTATAGCTTTTATCTACCCTATTCTTGTCTCTATGAATGTTCTCGGAAACCAAGACACATTGAAAAATGTATAAGGACTCTGTGCTTTTTTTCCTAAATAAAGCCCTTAAAATAATTTTTTATTCATGTAAGTAATAGTTTTACGGAGAAATGATTACAGATTTAGCAAAAAAAAAATTCAAAAAAAATTACGAATTAAATTTTCAATTTGAAAACGTACATGTTAAAGTATAAATGCCTCTCAATCACTAGAAAAAAAAAATAAATGAAAGCGATGTATATACATGTATAAATAACATGTTGGTTTACACTCTTCTGACCAACCCGAGAAGTTGTCACCAATTTAACATACTGTCAAAAAGTTTGATCGCAACATTTTCGCATGGAATTTCCAGTTTAATACACGTAATAAAAAAAATCTGGATATATGTCAGAATTAATTTTTATTTAAAGCATTTTCCCATTTCATTTGCTTAAGGACATTGGCAAGGTTCCTGGTTATTGTATAGAATTTTTCAAGAACTTTTGAGTAGGTTTAAATGTACTAAATAGGCTATATTCTGGATCGTTTTACCTACTAATCCAGCATTCTTTTTTAGATTTTGTCAAATTAGTGTTTTTACAATTCTTAATGCATTTCCTATGTAAAATGTTGATAAAAGGGACCTACATAAATTTTCATCATAATATTTCTTCAAAACCCATTTATTTCATACAGTTTTTGTATTGTATACATTATTGTAACTTCATTTCCTATGACTTCTAGATATTTTGGTTGAAAATGTATATATAGAAAAAAGACATGGATATACCGGCACCGATCATCATTTTTGAGTTGCGTCCCTTAACAGCTAAAGTTGGTCAAGTCACTGGTTGATTGTTTTTATCATGTAAATGACTGAATTGATTGAAATACATTGTCATAAAAATATTGACATGGATTTATTTTTAACTTTTATTCGTAATTACTAAATGCTGATTCCTTCACACGACCTAAGAACTGTTCTCAGTCGGCATGGTCGACCTACCTTCCAGCATATGTCACATCTTTGCCCTTCCCAGCATACTGAGCATAACTATGGTAAATGACGACCTGTTTGCTCTTTGTCCCTGAATACAATGTACAACAAAGCCATTACTACTTTCCTTTTTTGCTGTATAGAAGATTCTACCCGTTGAAGGAAGTACACGTGCTTTTGTTTACCTCTATAGCATACGCTTTACTGGTTTTCACCGCTTAGAGAATTCTACACGGGAGATCACTCTCAATCACTATTTTACAAGTGAAAAAACCCATGTATTAAACCTTTTTTCTCCGGAAAGCCCTGACTTGCCAATGTCCTTAATTCACTGAAACCTGCAGGTAAAATATGTTACCTGGAATTCACACATAAAGCCCAGTTTAATCTTCTTTTTTTTTAAAAATGCTTTTATACATTGTGGATGGAATTGAAGCTGTCTTAATCGTTTTCTTGATTGTAACTTTCCTTTAAAAAGCATTTTTACACATTGATGGAAAATTTATGTAAAAAGGAAAACAATTACATGCACAAAAATTAAGTAATATTTTGTACTAATTGTGTGCACTTCTACCGATTACTTTTCAATGTGTTTTTCCTAGTAAGCCAATTAAACAACTAAGCAATCTATGTAAAAAAAAAATTAAAATTCCTCGCAAATAAATATGAAAATAATAACTTATTTTTTAATAGTTTGTTTGATCATTCGGTCAAGAGAAAAAAAATTGTTTGTTTGTTTTTTTTAATGAAGCCGTAAAAAGAATGGTAGACGAAATAAAAGCATGAGGGATTTATAAAATCAAACTCATTTGTTTAAAAGTGTGATAAGTGAATATTTAAAATAATAATTGTATTCAATTAGGAAAATTAAAAGGAAAAAAAACATATGTACGCTTATTCTTACAAATAAATACAGAAATGCCTTTATGGAGACACAACCAAAATATTTTTTTTCATCCTTGTTATGCAGTGTTTGTTGATATGTTCGATTTATTTCCAAGTTATTGAACCATAAGGCAATAGTGTACAAAATAAGATAATAAATAGACAACTAAAACTATTTTATTTTAAAAATTGAAAGTAGTTCATACAGAAAGTAAATTAAAAAAAAGATACAGTTAATAAGACGACTAGTTACATGTAATAACGAAAATACAGCTGTAAAAAGGAAATATTTATAACAACTTTAACTTAAAAACAACTTTTAAAAAATACTTGCGATACCGTCCTTCCATTTATATAAAATAAAGAGCTTATAATAAAGAAATAAACGACTTTATGAAGTAGCCAATCATAAAATAAAGCGTACAGGCTCTGCCCACTTAATTTACATATCGTTCACCAAAGGGTACCATTCACAAAGCGTACCATTCCATGCAAGAAGTGTACCGTACCGTACACAAAACGAAATGAACCAAACCGTGCAAGTGGTGTAGTAGCACGTTTTAGGGTCTGTAATTTTATGACCTTTAATCTAATCTTGACCTGAGTCACTATTTCCTGTAGTTCAGAGATGGCCAGTGAGAGAGGAATAGACAGAAAAAATAAAGAGAATGAAAAGACTATTTTCCCTCTAGCCTTAAATTGTACTCACGGTGCACTTTGTATGTATTCTGTTTTGTACTTCAAGGGTTCATCTGCATAAAAAGTGACTCCATTGACCAATGCTATAGCTTTGATCTACAAAAAATCAATCAGTTTGTACCTAGTTCTCTATATCAAATACTGTAAATTTTCACATAATTACATGAATCCATCTACTCACTAAAATGTCATTCTGGCATATAATTCTACCATTAAGATTATATACAGCAATAACCAATATTCTTGAAAATTTTGTTTTGCTTTTAAGGTCAAGTTCTAGTAAATAAAAGGTGCCTACACATTTTTCAAATTTGAGGGGCGAGTTCTTTTAACGATCCTTTACAAATATAGCTTGGTAAAATAAGGTGTATCGGGACATAATTTTAAGGTAAACTCAACGGGAAAACATGTTCTAAACTGTCATTTTTAATGAAAAATGAAGAAAGTCAGGTATAAATTTCAGAGTTTTTTCCATCTCAGAAAAAGGAAATGTATTAATATTGCCCACAGTCTCTCAGAAAACGGTTTTTCGTATCTTTTTGACCTCTACTTTAAAATGATATTTAATTGAATATAGGTATCAGGGTTTCTTTTGAAATGATTTCAAATTGAATTCCATGAAAATGCTTGATTTTCTACATAATTCTATTACAGCCATGAAGTACGGGAAAAATTAAGTTTAAATCAATTATGACGTCATAATGGATCTAGCTTCAAAAAGACAGTCTAAACTCATTTACTAGATCTTGACCTTAAATATCAAACAATCTCAGGTTTCATGAGAATTTAGTGATCTTCTGTACATAAGTTCAGTCTCATACACATCAGCTCAAGACTGTTCATCATTCATGCAGGTGAATCTCATCAAAATTTTTTTTTTTAATTTTTCCCTGTTGATCATTCATGCAGATGAATTTCATCAGAATTTTTTTTTTATTTTTTTCCAAATGAATTTCAGCTGAGGCTCATAAATGGGTTAGAATCTACACTACAACAGGAACCTCTCAAGTAAGTTATGTATTTTGGTCCAGTGGTTCTTGACAAGATTTTAAAAGATTTTTCCTATATATTATTCAATGATCAACTTTTATCCCCTATTATGGCCCCACATGCATCCCGCCCCCAGGGGTTATGATTTGAACATTATGGAATCTTTACTAAGTTTTATCTTTTCTTCTTCATGGTTCTTGAGAAGATTTTTAAAGATTTTTCCTATAATTATACATTTCAATTTGACTTTGATCCCCTATTGTAGCCCCACCCTACCTTTGGGGTATTGATTTGAACAATTTAGAATCTTAACTACCTTGGAAAGCTTTCACATATGTTTTACCTTTTCCAATCTAGTGGTTCTACAGAAAAAGATTTTTAACAATTTTTCCCAAATATTTCAATGTACATGTAAAACTTTGATACCCTTCAGGGGCCATGATTTGAATAACTAGTGCTAATTGTAACGGGAACCGTTACAGATGTTCCCCAAACGGCTCCCCAATCCCTTATGATGCCCAGGAAACTCTATTTTTAAGGGTATTTCATTGGAAAACTACTCCGATATAGCCATATGGGTATTAGCCAATCAAATTTCAGCGCGTGTGCTTGCACATGTTTTCTACATTTTTCACATTAATTATCTTATAGTGTCTCACAATACATACATTTGTTTTAAATATTAAAGAATTTCATTGAAAAATAAGAGAGATGTACCCTTTAAGTATTAGCCAATCAAAATTCAGCATACACGCATGCATGGCCTTGCATTCAATTTTAATAGTATCATAATGTAGGAGCTCTATGTGCCTATCCATGTCATAAATTTCATCCTGTTTTGTTGAAAACCAAGGGAGATATAGACATTTACAGTTTCAACCAATCAGATTGCAGCACACCTGCGTGCGCGTGTTTTCAAGAAATTTCCTATATAACATGTTGTAGCACCTTATAATATATACTTATATTCTAATTTTCAAAGTATTTTGTCAAAAAACAAGGAAATTATTGAGATTTTTGTATCAGCCAATCAGAGAAGAGCGCACGTGCATGCGCGTGAGTTCACGCTAATTTGACCATGTTATCTTGTCTAGACTACTAATATATCTTTATATTTTGAGTTTCAAAGCAATTTATCAAGAAATATAAAAGTTACGGCTTCATCAAGTATATCAGTCATTTCACTCATTGCACGTGCGCGCACGTGCATGCATGTGCGCGCAAAATGACCTTCGTTCCGAACACCTACACAACATGCCTATTAACCCTAAAAAGGTTTCATGTCAATCGGATGAGTGGTTCTATGAGAACACTCCCGGACAAAAAAGTACCAGAGAAGAAAGTAGAAAAAAAGAATAATAATAACTAGAAACCTTGTTGCCATGGCAACAAGAAGGTCTTCCGTCCCTTTTCTGTCTTCATAGATGTTGATTCCTCTTTAAACAACTTGTTATGTTGTGCATTCCCTGTCACACCTTAATGCGAAAAATAGTTCCTTCGCCATGCGCTCGGCACTTTGAAGTTAAAGTTGCAGATATTTTGGATGAGACCTTAAAAACCGAGGCCACCATGTCACAGCAGATGTTGGCACGATAAAGATCCCTCACTGCTCAATGGCCCTGAGTGCCGAGTAAAAGTCTAAATTTGAAGCCCTTCACCGACGGTCACATCTCTATATGAGTGAAAAATTCTCGAATGGGACTTAAAACAACATACAGTCAATCAATCTATCAATCAATCAATCATACATAAAATATAATTAAACATTTATATTTTGAAAATATTGCAAAACTGGAACGAAAAAAATACGAGATATCATTTTAGGAGGGGGAAGGACCTATGTTCCAAAACATCTTTGTGTGAATTTTTTTTTTAAATTTTTGAGATTCTCACACTTAATTGTACAAAATATAAAATTATGTTAAATATTTTTTTTAATTTAAGATCTGCATGTATCTACAATATTTTGTTTTATTTTACCCGATTTCATGCATTTCAACCCCCCCCCCCTCCCTCCCTCCCTGAGTCAGCACCACACACGCATAACAAAATGATTGACACTTCACATGAAAGCATATTTTTTCACATACTGTTTCAAGTATACAGATTTTTATGTGTTTCATTGTGTTAATACACTGTATACCATTAATTAACCATACCTTTATCCGCAAAGTCGCTTTGAGCTCTTAATTATGGCGGATCTTGCTCTAAACTAAATGTCATTGAAATTCCCTCTCATTTGAAATTGCTGTTTTTATTCAATGAAGATGAGAAAATAATAAATTCTACTTTCAAAGTATAATTTGACAAATCTCCGATTTGTGATTCAATTTCATAGGTACCTAGCTAGCTACATTAACATTTTTACCTTATTTTGTCATATCACACACATATGCACATTAATTAGTGCAAAATTCAACTGCAAACTCTTTATGAAGGAGTAAAAAGACAAAGTACCATTGTGAAGTCAAACACCATTGCTCTGACGTTGATGACATAGCCCCCCCCCCCCCTCTTTAAAGATAAAATATTACATTTGAGCCCAAACAACAGTGTGAAAAAAATCGGACATTTTGGGGATTGAATAGATAGTGCAAAATTTAACTGCAAACTCTTTATGAAGGAGTAAAAAGACACAGTGCCATTATGAAGTCAAACACCATTGCTCTGACGTTGAACGACATAGCCCCCCCCCCCTTTAAATATAAATAAAATATTACATTTGAGCCCAAACAATAGTGTGAAAAAATTTGGACATTCTGGGGACTGAATACGAGTTGCTTACCATTACGCTATCAAAGACCATCGTATCAAAGTAGCAAGCAATAAATATCTAGAGTACGGGTTAATCCATTTTTAAATAAATTACATATTTAGCATTCTGATAAGATTCTCTATTTATCCTATAAATATCATAAAAAAATAATGAAAAACAAAAAAGTTAAAAAAAACTACCCTTTTTAAATCACTTCCTGTGACGACCGGAAGTGGCGACGACACACGAAATGTTTCCATCACACATCTACAAATCACCTTCTATCATACCTGAAAGTTTCAGACTCCTACCTTTAACAGTTTCCGAGAACATTCACGGACTAGATTTTTAGTGGAAAAAGTGAAAAATCGTAATAATTCCTGACCGGAAGTGAATTTTTCCAAACTTTTTCAATATTTCAAAATGGCATGAGATAACACATCATTCCTGAAAATTTGGCTGAAAATGATTTGAATAGTTTTTGAGATATCGCGATTTGAAAAGGTCAGAAAAATAAAAATGAAAAATAATAATAATAATAATAATAATAATAATAATAATAAGAAACAGTAGAATCACTATAAGGTCTTCCGTGAAGACGGAAGACCTTAATAATAATAATAATACATGTAATAAGAAACAGAGTAAAAACAATATGTTCCCAAACTTCGTTTGGGGAACATAATTAACAATCTATGCTACATCATGCTTTCACTTAAGTTTTATTTCTTCTGGTGCAGTGGTTCTTGAGAAGAACATTTTTAAAGGTTTTTCTCATATATTTTATGATTTGAATTAATTACAATCAACACTACCCCAGGAAGCTTTCACATATTAAGTTTTATCTCTTCTGCTCCAGTGGTTCTTGAGAAGAATTTTTCATGGCCCTACCCTAATTTTGCCTTTTCTTGATTATCTCCCCTTGGAAGGCAGCTTGGACCTTCATTTGAACAATTTTCAATCCTCATTACCCAAGGATACCTTGTGCTAACTTTGGTTAAAATTGGCTTAGTGGTTCATGAGAAGAAGTCCAAAATGTAAAAGGTTTACACACTGAAAGATAACTCAGGTGAGCTAAAAACTGACAAATCTTATGGTTGATTTATCAGTGACAAACACCTTCAAAATGACTACATGTAATTACCTGTGACAAATGCCTGCAAAGCTCCAAGGCATACATTCCACCTTTGGATGTTGCTAATACACCTATCCTGTTGCTCTGTATGTTTGGTCTCCCAGCAAACCATCTAGCACTATCCTTGAAGACATAAATATTACGTAGTCAATAAGCAATATCACTTCCAAATTAGAAGTAGAAAAATATGATAAATACAATTAATTAAATGAAGTTAGACAGATGGACTGTAATACTTCTGTACATAAACAACAGACCATTTTATCAAAATTTGTTTTTCTTGTTTATTTATATTACTCAAGAAAATATCTCACAATGAAATAATCCAATGAAACATCTTTTAATGTTACTGGTAAATCATCATAAGCAAGATACGCCAGAGCAAAAACACAAAACCCTCTGGAGGCGAGTAGAGCAGCCCGATGTTGAATCAGCCCTCCACTGTTTCCAAACAAATCAATCACACCAGGGAAAGGACCAGGGCCTACAATAAAGATAAGAATGACTTATATTCTTTTCCATAAGACTTATAAAGCTGATGCTTATACTGTAGATTCCTAAATATACGCAAGGAATAAATTATCGTTTAATTAAGCGAGGAGCACCACACGCGAAATAAAATTACTTGCTTTTATTTTTATGGTGCTTTAATGTATGTAAAATCTCTAGATAAATCACCGATTCACGAATTATTGTTCTCGCGGTTTGACGCCCTTGGGCCATTTCGCGATATTAAGTACTCACGTAAAATAAGGAATTTACAGTACTCAGTTTCTGAGTTGTTAAGTGGTCTGAGTGAAAGTCATTATCTCCCCTTGACATAATTCCATCCCAGGTTAACTTCCAGCATAAGCATGGGTATCGCCAAATATTTCATATCATGATATATCATGATTTTTTCCAAAAATATCACGATAATATTGTGATATTTTTACACGCAATTTTTACTACAATTTCAAATGAATTTCCATAATATTTCTTACAAATATGCTGAAAAAACATAACTTCACTTTTTAAAATTTTTATTTATATATAATATAAAGCATCTTTGGATGCCATTGTTTAACTGTTTTTAACATTTCTTAGGCTTCCTGCAATTGTTATTTAATAGTTTGAACAAATAAATGAATAATTTTTTGGAATTTATAATTAGGTACCAAATACTGGTATTTCAGTCTCTGTATCACTATGCATACCACGCAATAAAAAATTACGATATACCACATATGTATATATAGAGAGAGATATATAGATATAAAATCATGCATCCCTATCCCAACATATGCTGGTTGCCATTTTAGCTGAATGAACTGAAAAAGTGCCAAGTCTAAGGACACATGTACCCCCAGTAAGATCTGGGCCCGGGATCATGAAACATGTTAAGATTAATTCAAAATCTTTATGTTGTACTAAAATGTTGATGAAGTCAAGGAGACAAAAATTAAAATATTTGTTAATATTGCTTCACAAAAGAGTTGATATCTGCAAGTTTAGAGATTAATTTAATAATTAATAAACATTTTACAGGTGATTGAAAATTTGACTTAAGTCCAAGTCTGTTTCATGATCCTGGGGCCTGAACTAGCAAACATCCATCTACTGGCCAAACACCTATGACCAATCAGCAATGTACACCATTATAAGTAAAAATGTATATTCCTAATTCCTCTAGAAGATATGTTATATAATCAATTCTTCAGAACAGTAAAGCAGTAATTAAAATAATATCTATCATGAAAATCATAATTTCTAGTTTTGAAAATGAATAAATCGCTATTACATGATGACTTGAAGATAATGAAACAAACCAGGAGGAATAAACAGTGCTCCTCTAATCTTCTTATATTTTACTTCCTCTCTTCGAACACTCTTGTGTTTGTACCATCTGTATACATCCAAGGTAGCCAGAGGTTTCTGGACTGTATCAAACAAGTTTTTCCAAGTAAGGTGGCCTTCAAACACTGAAAATTTCACCACCATAGGTGTCGTTACATCTTTCTTCAGTAGTCTAGCATTTGGTCTCTTTGGTTCAGGTTTCATGCTCCAAAATAGTCCCATTGGTTCCACACCTGCAACAAATAGGGAAGAATACAACAATTAACCAATCAAGTTTCCAACCTAGGTAATATGAGGTGTAAACTATAGATGTACTGTGTCAGACCTGAGCTAACAAACCCCTCCCATATGAGTATACTGGCAAAGTGTAGCAGAAGTGGGCATCCCCATACTGTACACACTACCCATATTTTTCAAGTGAAGAGGGGGGGGGGGGGGTATAAAAAAGTGCTCTATCAAGTATCAACTGAGATACCTAGAAAAAAAGCAAAACTTTACGTCTTTATTCAAAACAGATTGAGGATCCAATAAGAGAGACGAGCTAATTTAGAGGATTGTGTCCCCCTCTTAAGGAAAAAGAAGATGGTAGAATAAATGAAAAAAATATGCATATGGAGGAAGAAAAAAAGGTCAGCCTTGACCTTTCAGGTTTTGGCCTTAAAGTCAATAAGGGTCTTTTTTAATGAAAGAAATTCATAACCTTAAGTTTCATAGCAAAAAGCTTACGGAGAACTAAAGCAAGCACCTGAAAAGAAAGTGTCACACTAAGACAGAATGTATGAATTCCTTACCTTGACCTTTGATCTTTTCATCTCAAAATCAATGGTGGTCATTTTTAAGGCCATAAGGGGTTATGATATTAAATTTCATTCAGAAAAGCTCAAAGAAAATTAAATCATCTGCAATTATTTGCAATGCATGAATTTGACCTTGACAATTGACCTTTTGACCTCAAAATCAGTAGTGTCTTATTCCCTATTTACATGTTTATGAATAATTATAATCTCAAAAATCAAGTTATTTATATATAAAAAGCACTGAAAAATTCAATTTGCTTGTCATTTGGGAATTTTTACATTTTAGGGGGGGGGGGGGGGTAATTTTCAATTTGGACAGGGTCCTTTTAATTAGACTGGATATTAGGCCCTATAGTCTACAAGTACAACACACAAAACAAACCTGTGTATGTTCCTTGCATTAAGGCCTACAAAAACAAACCTGTGTATGTTCCTTGCACTGAGGCCTGATCCCCCACGGCTACATGGCCCCGTTCTGTAGCTGTGTAACACCCATAAGATGTAAAACAGTTAATCCCCTCCTGTAGCGAAGCTTTGATTGTTATGTTCCCCTTTTTAGGTAGACCATCTACCCTGACAACGACTTCTTCATCCACTAATGCCTCCCGAGGAGTCACACATATTCTAACCTCCGGCATTGGAAGAAATGTTGTAGAAAAAGGGTTACAGGTATCTCTTTTGACCACGGTCACATTCTGAATGGTGTTCCTGAAAATATTTTTGTTTTAAATTGTAACATGACATTTATATCTACTTAAAGAACCAATTTTTTTACTGTACGGTTACCTGGGGAGAGGAAGTGGTCTTATAGCCACAATACTCAAGTTGTCAAAATTCCCTAATACACATTGTAGTATACAGGAAGTCTGTCTTTGGTAATCAGGGTCAACATTACATGTTTTTGTCTAATTTTGAAACTATTATAAATAATTTATATACTTTTAATATAAAATTGGTTAACTTAATGTTTTCATCAATATCCTTTGCAGGGAAAAAAAATTATAAAGAAATATCTTCGTTTTTAATTGGGAAAAAAAAGTAAAATACATGTAAAAATAAAATCATGAGTGAAAACTACATAGCAATCATATCAATACTGTTTAATCGTCAGTCAAAGAAATCATCATTCAATAAGTGTAAATATTAAAATAAAACGATTTCATTTATCGTGTGGACATGCAATCTGACATGTACCATAGCCAGAATATCATTTATTTTCCTGGCCAAGAATAGTGTCCATAATATTCACCACTGCAATTTCCAGGGTACTGTTTTTATGCCCTATTCACTGATTTGTATTGTTTGTAGAATTTTTTTAAATATCAATCACAGTTCGTTATCTTCACCCTTTTCATTATACGAATGTACACATTAGGGGAAATTCGAACAGTAATTGTTTTTACACTAAATGAATGAAAATTAAATTATAAGGAATGAATTTAATAGCTACCCAATTTATGAGTATAAACTGGGTTAGGGCAGTTACCCTTTATAAACCAAGAAATGGTTTATGAACAAGTGTAAACTGTTCAAACCCAGTTTATACCATATAAATTGGGTAGCTATTAAATTCATTCCTTATAATTTAATTTTCATTCATTTAGTGTCAGGGTTAGAAACTCCCTAAAATTACAACTCGCAAATAATTGCGAGTACCAACAAAGTGAACTTGCAATTTTATAAGACTACTCGCAATTTTCATATGAAGTTAAATTTATATGAATTAAATACATGTAACTTAAGGAAAAAGTAACTACTGTACAATACACAAAATACAACTACAGTGTGACTTATTTAAATTACTGATTTAAATCAAAAGTAATTGTGTTCTGTCATATTATATAATTTTGCTACAGTTTCAATGCAAAAAAAAAAAAAAATCAACTCGCAAGTTTTTTGAGTTACCTAATTTTCAACTCGCAATTTGGGAATTCTAACTCGTGTTTTGCGAGTTGTATATAGTGAATTTCGAACCCTGTAGTGTAATAAAAAAAAAGATTACTGCCCTTAAAAAATGACTTCAAATTATACAAAAAGAATGAATTCAGGTGAATTGATACTTATTGTGATGTAGGCAACACAGTTTATACCATATAAGGTAAAGATCTTTATTATCTTATCAAATACAGTGTACTGCATTTAAATTATATAAAGATCAAATATTTGAATCTAAAACAATGAAAAATATCAAATGAGTGAAAAATTTTAAAATCTGAAGATATATCGTTGGGCCAATCAAGATTTTTTTAAAAGTTGGCAATATGAAAGTCCTTCTCTTCGTCCATTAAAGTGAAGGGCTGCTACTATAGCATTGTCTTTATTTGGTTAAAAAGCAATGCAAGAGGGGAGTCCCTGCCATTATTTACATGATTTAAAAATGGATAAAAATAAGCCATGCTCCTTTCAGGTGCTACAATTTCCCAGATGCTGGTCCTTTAGGACTCCAAGAACATGGCCATAATGGTATCTTCTAGCAGCTGGTTCCATATCCAGATGATGGTTGGAAAGATTCCTTGAAGTTGGTCACAGTTGAATAGCAGGTTGGGATACTGTATGGGTGTTGGTGACCCCCCTGAAGCTGCCCCTGTTTGGTTGACTTTGGGAAGAAGTTCGTTGGCAAATTAATAGGAAATGGATCAACCAGGTATGTAGTGATAACCTAGCTTCCCTCGGATTCTTCATTGGTGTAAGCTCTCCCACTCTCTCCTGTTAATCATTGCTGTAACACTTCTGGTGGTAGTGTAGTTGTTTGTCATGAACTCCGCTGTTTTTGTTTTTCGTTCCTTTTTTCTTCATGTTCCTCTTAGTGTGAGGGTCCCAGGCAACGGATGCATATTCTACCTGGGTCTGACAAATGTTTTGCACTTTTTTACTCTAATAGGGTATAATAATAGCCTTACTTTCAATGATATTGAATGCTTAACAGACATTTATGTTTATGGGCTGAATGCTCAGTATATATTTAGACATACATGTAATTTCATGTTTTAGTATTTAGTATGTAAGAGTGGAATGTGCCCTAATTCATGACCTTGTTCTGTTTCTGAAGAGTTATCCCCCTTTGCTTTTAATCAATAAAATCAATTCTAAAAAACATACCTGGTAAAAAAAAATAGATTTTAATTGTTTTTCTTTTCCTATAATGATTATATAAATACACCTTTCCATCACAGCATTTATTGATATTCTTCATATCTAAATTTTTATTTTAAAAAAAAATTCTTGTCCCCATAGACCTGAACACAATTTTCAATGATTAATTACTACCTAAGTAATTAATTTTTTGAAAATTTCTCTTGGTAAATTCTTGTCTACTTTAAAATGCTTTGATATAATATCAGAGTATTTTATACATGATGGATATTTAAGGTTAGGAAATTAAGTCCTATTATGAGTACATTCGAATACATTAATGGAGGAGTAGAGTTTCTTGCTGTTGTCCTATTGAATCACATAAGAATTGTACACACTCTTACTCTCCTGCTAGGTTGACTTCTGCAGGCGCCTTAATCTCTGCCTATCCTTTTCCCAGTCTGATCTTTTGTACTTTGTGAAGGTTCTTCACTTTTGTCTTGAAAGCTGCTTGATCATCCTGTTACATAATTGCTGGTTAAATCTACTTGAGGACAGGTCCAATTAGTTGGTACATGTACATGCTACATGATGGTGTTAAAGCAGATGGTCTTAAAGGTGGTCCAAATGTTGTTTATATAGGTGTCATGTGCTGAGCTGTCAAGGAAATGTGCCAAGTCATGGTCAAGATCCTCTGCCATCTTTGCTGTGTGTGTGTTGGTTTTCTTCCATAAATGGATGATCTGAGGTGCCTGATTAGTTTTTCTCTATTAAGGTCAGATACACATTCCTCAATAATAGATAATTTTCCCCCCAAATTTGTCACTGACATATTGCTACATTAACAAGTTTGCTTACAAAAATTTAAGGTACCTTACCAGGCATTTGTGCAAGATACTAAAGGATGTTGTTAACTATATAACCCTATTTGAAATCACTAGAATTGGCAATATCACAAATATTTGGTGTCTTTATTTATTTAGACATTTTACACAGTTTAGAAATCACAGTGTAATGATAATTATGATTTAAATCTGTTGTATATTACGAAAAGATACAGAACAGATATTCCAGCAGCATATCATCAGACCTTAAACATGTTAAAGTGTATACCTACCTTACAATTAACACTACTGTAGACATAATACTGCAAGAAACTATTGCAACTCAAAACAACATAATGCTTTCAACAGTTCTAAATATGAAATGTCATGAACTGGTCATTGTTGATCGTGATTATGCATAAATCACTGCTACACTCTGTGTGTGTGTGTGTGTGTGTGTATATATATATATATATATATATATATATATATATATATATATATAGATGCAGATATGTACCTATTGATATATTTAAAAAGAGTTGTATACATATCAACAGGAATACATTGTAATACATGTACATTTTTACCCAGGTACCTGTGTTTGACGATGTGAAGATTTGACAAGACTTTGCACTCGTCAGAAAATTATCAAAATACCTGTCACAGCAGACTTGTCAGTGGGTGTCACATAATGACATATTTTCTGCTTTCTCAGTTTCTGCTGTCCCAGTTAATGTTGAACTCGTACCTGCTGAACTTCGATCCCGACCATTTTATGAAGTACATGTAAATAACGTCAATGTAACGATTTTGTGTTGAACAATACAATATTTTTTAACATTTATTCCTTTAGTAAACGTTTTGAATTTTTTTAATTAGTTCTGATATTTATTCAATTCTTATATCAACATTAGCAATATCACAGGTGACAACCCACCCCCACCCCTCCCACTACTACTACTACTACCAATTTTCGCTTGGGTTATTCACAGTATGTATACATACATACATACATACATACATATATATATATATATATATATATATATATATATATATATATATATATATATATATTTGGACAGGTAAAGTTTTTTTTCTATTTTATTTTATTTATTTATTTATTTATTTTTATTATTATTTTTTTATTATTATTATTTTTTTTTTTTTGGCTTGCCAGATTTTTTCCGGGGGGCACTTTTGAAACCGTTGCTACGGGCCTGTGTAAAAATTGATTATTTGAGCACATTTTGAGAATTTGGAGCGAATCAGATTGACCAGAGATATGTCTCTGGTTTGACCATTTCTTTTTCTTTCTTTTTTTTCGAGTTAAGTTGATCCTTTCTGATACATGTATGAACCTCCATTTGTGGTAGTATTTCATACGATTTTTACGGTGTGTCAAGGTTAATACACCTTGGAAAGATTTGAGAACAAAAAAAAAATTAAAAGAAGAAGAAAAAAGTAATTCGGAGGATGTTATGTTCTAGTATTAATTACCTATACCCACCCCACCCACCCCTCGGAATCTGTATTTTATTTTATTTATAAGGTACCACCAGGATGTTTTACCGTTTACAGTTCATATGCCTCTGTGGAGCAGAATTGTAGATGGCACTGATTGCCTTTCTATACTATGAGGCGCCGTTTTGGTATTTACTGCCAAAAAGGTGATATCACCTATCAATTGGTGATATCATCTATTCAAATAAGTGATATCACCTGTTCAGCTTCTGAATAGGTGATATCACCCATTCGAATAGGTGATATCACCTATTCGAATAAGTGATATCACCTATTTGATTTGAATAGGTGATATCACCTATTCGAATAGGTGATATCACTTATTTGAATCTACTAGGTGATATCACTTATTCCTTTTGAATAGCTGATATCACTTATTCAAACAAGTGATATCACCTATTCAAATTAAATAGGTGATATCACCAATTCAAATAGGTGATATCACCTATTCGAATAGGTGATATCACCTAATCATTTTGAAAAGGTGATATCACCTATTCAAATTATTTATGAAATAACAACTGCTCCCAAGACTATAGCCTTTAATTCTCATTTACTTTCACTTTCGTTTTATAACTTACCGTTCTTTGAGACAATGGATTACAGCTTCGATTCGCATTTAGTTTTAAGCACCCCAGTAGAATTTGTAGTTTGTTTTGCTCACAAATAATATTTATTACACTTATCTGTAATGTATACTATTATAATAGCAAAAATCGTGAAAACGCATAATAACTATTCCATACGGAAAATGCCCCACTTTACATAATAAATAGAGAAAGGTATGCCACTCTCTTGTACCCCAGCTTGGTATAATTTATAAAATTTATATAACTTTACAGGGTTCGATAACATAAAGTATTTAAATTGTCTCGGACTCAATTACAGGGGAAAACGGGGCAGCCCGAATTTGCTTGGTTCCAATGGAAATCTAGATAGTCTTGAGGAAGGGAACATTCATTATTTATTGTTGTAAGAAATGCAAGTAGGTGATATCACCTATTCGAATTGGTGATATCACCTATTCAAATTGAATAGGTGATATCACCTATTCAAATATGTGTTATCACTTATTCGAATAGGTGATATCACCTATTCAGCACGAATAGGTGATATCACCTATTCATTTCCAATAGGTGATATCACCTCTTCGTATAGGTGATATCACCTATTCGAATAGGTGATATCACTAAACGGCAATATATACCAAAACGGCGCCTCATACTATACTCCAAAAAGGGGGACACATGCAGTCGAAACTGACTGGCGAAGACCTTTGTCAAGAAAATATCTTTAGAACTGATCTTTTTGCTACCGTTGCTACATGTACATGTAAAGTAGCGTTTTGAAGCAAATGCTTAACACGGGTATGTAGACGGGGGGGGGGGGGGGTCATTCTTCCTAGTAATCAATCTAAAACAAAGATAATTTAAAGTTGTGTCCTCTTAATAATTTTGCCAATATACACTAAATTAGAGAACTCAAAGTAAACTTTGGTAGTTTGTGCTCCCACCCCTTCAAAATACATAAAGAATCATTATGGTTCTGATGTTCGATTGCGCAACATCCTACTTTTAATGAAGGAATTTCCCATTGGCTGGAGGCGGTGCATTCTCAGGCCTGGTTTTTTTTCTTTTCTTTTCTTTTAATTTATTTATTTATTTATTTATTTATTTATTTATTTATTTATTTATTTATTTATTTATTCCAGTTATTTCGTTCACTGAAAATGATTGGTACACGCGTTCGCCCGATTCCTGGTGGAGTGATAGTCACTGAAATAAGGAATCTTTCCAGGAGTTATTTCTCTTTTATCTTGCTGATTTGTTTCCTTGCTTTATGCATGTACAAATTCGTCTTGATTGTCACCGTACTTTGTACACTTGAAATGACAATTATTAAGAGTGAAAATCACACGGGGGTCATTCTTCCTAGTAATCAATCTAAAACAAAGATAATTTAAAGTTGTGTCCTCTTAATTATTTTGCCAATATACACTAAATAAGAGAACTCAAAGTAAATTTTGGTAGTTTGTGCTCCCACCCCTTCAAAATTACTTCTTACGAGCCTTTAACACAGAAGTCAACATACATAAAGAATGATTCTGATGTTCGATTGCGCAACATCCTACTTTTAATAAAGGAATTTCCCAATGGCTGGAGGCGCTGCATTCTTAGGCCTGTTTTTTTCTTTTCTTTTCTTTTCTTTTAATTAATTAATTGATTAATTAATTAATTAATTAATTAATTAATTTATTTATTTATTTATTTATTTATTTAAGTTATGTCGTTCACTGAAAATGATAGGTACACGTTCGCCCGATTCCTGCTGGAGTGATAGTCACTGGAATAGGGAATCTTTCCAGGAGTTATTTCTCTTTTATCGTGCTGATTTGTCTCCTTGCTTTATGCATGTACAAATTCGACTTGATTGTCACCGTACTTTGTACACGTGAAATGACAATTATTAAGAGTGAAAATCACATAAAATAAAAGAGTGAAGGTTGCATTATACAGTTGCAGGAATAATTCATCAACAAATAATATATTTTTAGTAGTTGTTGGATGACACTATAGAGAAGAAAAAGCATCTGACTCCTAGATAGTGGCTCCCAGTTCTAAAACACATTTTTCTTTTTTGGATCATCGATGCTATTCGTCGAATATTAATGAAGCTCTTACAGGGAAGCGTAGACTGTATGTGATTAAATCAGACCAAGGTTCTGATTTCATGTTTTATAATGCATCGTTATAAGAATTTGTGTGTTTTACTCTCATTCATTTAAATAGATTTATGTAATCTTTTTTTCCTCATCAATTTAATACAATCAATGTAATAATCATCTTAAATAAACTTATGGCTGTAGAAATATAATGTTGCCGTGCTGACATACAGGCTTATTTCAATGAATTTAAATTACATTGTACTTACTTACTTAATGTAAGCTCTTCGTGCTGGTCAGCACATAAGGCCGTCACCAGAGACTTCCATGTTGGGTCTATCTTGTGTCCATCTCTGCACCTGCCCCCATGACTAGATGTTTTCTCTTATTTCTTTCTCCACTGATCTTCTCCAGGTCTCCTTTAGTCTTCCTCTCTTTCTCTTACCGCGGTTGGTGTCCATCTCAATGCAATCCTTGGGATGGAACTTGGGTGCATTTAAATTAAACTTATTTAATGAAATTATCTATCTAAACACCCCACCCGTCGAACTCATCATGTGCATCACTTTTGCAATTTAAGTGATTCTTGAATGATAAATTGTATCCTACATCCAATTTTTTTAAACTTGAATTTAGATTATAAGAGATCCTCTTATACTCTCTATAAATTAAGTGAAAAAGTCTCTAGCAATGAAAGTAAATATAATAGCTAGAATCAATCAATCTCTCTCTCTCTCTCTCTCTCTCTCTCTTTATTTGTATGTCACTGGGATCAGATCACAACGTAAAATTCCCTGTAACTTTACCTTGCATGTCCCATTCTATTTAAACCATGCACTGAATGATAAACCATGGGAAATCTTAATATCTTTAATTAATATTTGCACAAATCAAAAACACATACTACATTTATTTCCCATAATTTTGTGTCTGTATAATATGTATATTATGTAACTTTTTATGCAAATCTTTGTACGCCATGTTTCTTAGACTGCCTCATCGTCCAAGAGTAAATAAACATGTATGCAAAATGTAAAGTGAACACAATGCAAGCTATATAACCGTAGATCACTATATTTTCGCGACACTTTATTTTCACGAGACAACTTTTTTTTCGCGAGCTGTGGTTTCCAATGTATATAATCCTTAAGAATACAAATATACGCGAGAATAAAACTTTCGCGAGCAGATAGACTCGCGTAATTACGCAAAAATAAGATTCTCGCAAATAAAAAGTGATCATCTACTGAATATACATTTTAATGGCCACCATATACAATGATGCCATTCTGCACTACATCTAGAAGGACTGCAAGAATCACCTACACATTTATTGCATGATCGTGAGAGAAATATGAAGATTTATTTAGCCAAAAAAAAAATCATATTTCCACAGGGCTTCGCCCGAGAGGTATATGCTATTTCTTGGCTGAATACATCTTCATGTTTCCTGAACATTCATGCAATAAATTTAGTTTATTAACCGGGACAAAGCAAAAACTTGCTTTTGTGACGTCTGCTGCTCTCGGGAATTTTCGTTCAACGAACGATAAGT